ATTACAATGTAATGGGAAATCGTGTGACTGTGAGTAATTGAAAACTCGTGTGACCGTTAACTATATTGTATGTTTTTTTTCATTTGTACCTAATACACCGTAAATTATTGTGTCATTGACGGTAGAAGCCATATACTGCATCTTCATCAGAAGTGAAATTTAATACCTACTTTGATAAAGTTTATCAAAGACAACAGAGATAGCTCTAGCGCGATGCCAAACAAATAAAATCAACTTTTCAAAGCAAAGACATGATACGAAATCTTACAACGCACTGACAATGAAAATGTGAAACTCGCATGAAGTATATTAGTTATAGATATACCTAAACTTGATTAAGTACAATGAACATAATATTAACGGTTATAAAGATTAACATTTATTTTAAAAATTAACGCATTCAACAGTGTTATAATTTATTAACTCCTACTGGTTCTTAATCTTACTTCACTGACCGTTTTGTATACTTACACTATACGAAATTAGTGGCTCAGTACTGACCCATTTTGAGAGCCCTAATTTTACAAAAAAAAATTGTCTTCTAAGTAGGTATATTTATAATTACAGAACCAAATTTTATACACGAATTGCATCCCGATGGCCCCTTAATCGTAACCTAAATCTTATAGTAACTTAAAAAGGTTTACACTAGTTGCATCCCTTTGTTGATTGCCATGGGGTACATTTACAGTACTAGAGGTTCCCAATATCGTAAAAAAATACTTGTATAATGTATTAAAATAAAATATCTATTATAATTACTATATTATAAAAATATTATTATTTTAAAAAAATTTTCAGCTATAAAATAAATGTTTAAATTAATAGCAAAATATTGTATAGTATAAATTTATGAAGATAAAATCATCTGAACTTAAAGATCTGAGATCATTTAAATTATATTATTTTGCTGTAGGTACTCTGTTGTCAGGTCTATTTTAGAATACCTCTTTGAAGTCCGAATACTAAAACTGGCATTGACTCTATTTCCAGACGTTCAAGACTGTTCCATTTAAAAATTGTAGTTTTCCAGTACCTATTCATTATTGGATACTTTTTTATACACCAATCAGATCCCTAATAAACAGCCCCACCCTTACCAAAATACGCGTCAGATATTTCTTTCATTTATAAGGTAATTAATGGCCGCATTGATGCTCCTTATCCGTTGAATTGTATCCTTTTTAATATCCCTTCTTTTGATAACCGTTATATTATAATGATCTACTATAGCGGCTGAATATTTTCTTGGAAATTATATTTTTTATATTTTAAAGATTAAACCTTAAATATCATACTGTAACGCAGTAACAAAGTACATAGTTTTGATTTTTAAACTTAGTTTGATCATAGACAAACAATTTTAAACGCTTTTTTAAAAACAAAAGTTCTTATAATATAATTTTTTTATAACCAATGTTTAGTTTTAGATTGAAAATATAACTTCAATGTTTAAAAGAGGAAAAAACATTTTTTCACTTAAAATGATAGAAAAATTAAAAAAATAATTTTCCACACACTTTTCACAATTTTTTTTTCAAAATAAACGAAAAGTAAATTTAAAAACAGTCAAATGGTGGCTTGAAGGAGTGAAGAAGGGGAGTGGAAGAAGGAGGTGAAAGAGGCAAATCGGTTTATTTTTTTAATCCACGAAAACTAAATTTATACTCTACATTTCTGGTTTTATCAGAAACATTTAATTTTGTTTTAGAGTGGGGTGTAGCAGAATTATCATTTTAAAACTTTAAGCTATATTATTATTTCCTATTATGATATTATAAGATTAAGAGATATAGGTAGGTGGATTACACTTTTTCATATTAACAATGCAGACTGTACAGAACAAAGCCCCCTCATGTTTTTAATTTTGGTAATGTTTTGAGCCCACTCTAATGTGAAACCCTAGTTCAGTCTATGAGGAAATCAATGCTATTATGTCCTATAAGGTATTGAAAATTGATTAAGGGGTGGGAGGTTGTATAATATTTGGACTTTGCTTCACTTAAATTTAAAAATATGACTTCGCCACTGTCCCGAAATAAATATGAAATATCAAAGTCGTCTTTTGTTGCATTAGTTATAATAATGGTAAAAATGATTTTAGCTTCATGGAAAGTTTTGTCGAACAATTTCCTTTAATTTACTCCTTGTAGTGTAAGTGGTGTGGCGAAAGTTGTGCCCTTTTACACAAAACAAAATTGACATTTCACTTGATCTATTTCGCACATTTTTAAAAATTGCAGGTATTGGACTTAACACTAAACGCATTAGATAATAATATTATACTTAAAATAGATATAAAATTGGCAGTGCCACTAGTCGACGTTGTGCAAATATCTTTATCAATGATGTAGCGCCATGGCCGAACCCTGCTGGCTGCTGGAAACCACTCGGTTAAGAGTGTAATGTACTTCAATGTTCAATAGTTTAGAGGTAGAAGTATAAGTACCAAAACATTGTGCACTTGAGATTTGAATACTAATATCATAAACGTAATCTTACGATTTTTGAACCAAACGGCAGCTCGTCTTAATTGTTATTTTTGTAGCGGATTATCGGATGTGTCACCGTTGTTTATTTATTTATTTTTTCTAACAAGTCACACGCGTCCGTTACCGGTGAAGTGTTATGATAATGTGTCAAAACGAGGGAGAAAAAAATAATAATATGTTTCGCGTCATGTTCTACGACCGTCAACACTCACTCGGTCCTTATTGATATTTCCTGCTTCGGTGTATATGTCGACCCACAGGGTGTCTGTAATGTGTGAATATATGTAAGTATAAAATATGTGTAATGTATGTAAAGTGTGTATAATTTGTCAAGACAGCGCGACACTACACCCTGTACAGCGAACCGACGGCCGTCATAGTAATATTGTAAAGCGCCTACACGAGGCACAGACACACGGCCAGACAGACAATCAATCGACGCTTCTTCGGAATCGGACGGGTATGCGACAAGTCCTATTATTATTATTATTATTATTATTATTACTGTACAAACATTAAACACTAAAAAGCTGACGTCTGCGTCACTATTCCAACAGTGTGTGTTGAAGGCGCACAGCCAAATATTATGGACAATAATAAAATTAATATGGCACAAAGTAATCGTAATAATAATAGATTGAAAGAGTACCTAACTCGTTTTAATAATATATTAAAATTCACTGGCATATCTATAGAATTTGCTTTGGAGAGCTACCCAATGATATTCAAAATGTATCATTACAACAATTTTTTCTTATGACCAAATATTTTTATTCTTTACATTCCTAATATTGTATTTTGGGATAGCCCCGTATATTTATATAAAAAAAATAAATATTACCTATATATTCATGTAGACAAGTACAGCCGTACAGGGTTACCAATTTAGGGTGATCAACTAATTTTGGGATTTTATTTTACTTTACACAATTATACGATATATAATCATTATAACTTGGTCAAAATTATAATTTACAACAAAAATTATAATAGAGATACAATTTTTTTAAGCTTTTAAATTAAAAAATTCTACAAAACCAGTTTTGAAAAAAAAATTTTAAAAGCGAGGTACCTAGGTAAGGCAAGCGTGTCCTTAGAGGCGTATACAAAAATAATACTACCCCAACCGTCTAGGCATTTAAACTTAAATAGTTACTATTTCATGTTATATTTTTCAACAAGGTTCATCAATCAGTCAAAATGATCGGTAATGCTGTGAATCATTCTAAATTAAAAAACCAATAGATATGTTACCGTTTATGCTTTAAAAACAGTACTCTAGATAATAGCAAAACAATTAGGTAAGTATGGCATTTGTTTTATTATCAAACAACATTAAAAATATATTAAAAGAAAAACAACAAAATTGTACCTAGTTATTTATTTTTGTTATTTTCTGAGTAAATGAGTGGATTGTTTTAATTAGGTTTGATCACTTTGAATGTATATAATATTCAATTTACAATTTAAATTTAAAATTGATCAGTAAATCGCATTTAAATATGCCCCATTCGTTTACAACATATTACTCCATTTGACCCAGAACCCTACATTTAATATAACGGCAGTAGGTAGGTATAATATTATGTATTTATGAATTATTATGATATTATAACATACCTCGGAAATTTAGTAGAAGAATAAGGTAATTGACTCGATCGCAGGACCCAGCTCCTCTTCGGATTCGCGTTTGTTAACAGTAATAATAGAAAACAAAATAATATTATTGATAAATAGGTCACCTGCTAAATACAAGTTACACACCGTGTACAACGTAAAGATATCTATTTTTGTCGAAATCAAATTCAATGTTCAAACATTTGAAAATATAATGGAAAAAATAACGGCCATAGCCATTTTGCTATACCGTCAGTAGTTATATAGCTATAGCGAGTCGCTAGTATACGTTGTACAATTTTAATGCGGTTAGCCAATGAACTTTTAACCGAGTGACTGGTCAAAGCGGTTTACCGCTTTAGGTTTTTGGTTACCAAACAGCCTTTAACAGCTGTTATAACAAAAACTTTTACCAGCCAGTCGTGACAGATGTTAAAATAAGGATTTAGCACAATGTTTTATTACAAGTCTGGGAAAAATATATTCTGTCCGTTTATTTTTAGTCTTCTTTTCTTTTCTCTATATAGAATTATTTTAAGGTAAGTGACGAATTTTTAAAAAAATTAAATTTTGGTCTAAGTTATTAAATACCTAAGTTAAGAGTGAACAGTGTTACAACATGTCGTCACACTGTTTAATTTTTAAGTGTAAACCGTTAGGCCCTGGGTCAAAAGGGGAGGACCAAGCTAAGATATTCTATAGAAAATTCATCATAGAACTATACTAACAATAAAACCATTAATAGTAGTGACTGACAAATAAAAATGCGTATACTTGCGTACATACTTCCATATAAATTTAAAAAAAAAACAGCTAAGTATATTATTCCTGATATATAATTTAATAATAGTTTTAATACATAATATCAACTTCTTCATAACAATTCATAAAAAAACAATTGTTTAATACTAATAACTAATAAGTCATATGTAACACATATATATTTTTGAATTATTAAACAAATATTGGATACTTTTCTAGCAGCTAAATTGCTTTATTCTAAAAAAAAAAACTAATCAATTTTTGTTGTGTGCAGTCTTATTGTGGGTATATATTTAATCCACCCTTCATAATTTATAATTATAGATTTTTGAGTCTGAAAAAAATAAACAATAATTTAATATAATTATAATATTGAATAAGTTTATATTATATAATTGAATAAATACACTGTACTACTACATAATACACTAATACAGAATTCTATATGGTTTTTCCAATTCACAGGGAGGGGAGGGGGAGGGTTTTTGAAGGTAATGACATAGAAATGTTACTAGTGTCTAGCGTTTGCTAAGCTCAATTTCTAGACATGAAGTTCTAAAACTATGATCAATATAATAAAAAGTATTCATTCCTTCTAGGAACGTAGTGAACATTTTTTTTTGGTAAATTAAAGCTATATCAATAGTACTATATCTAAATAATGCTCCATACAAATTGAAAAATATGTAATTTTTTTGGATGTTTTTATCAATTTTTAAAAGGAAGGGATGAAGTTTTAAAATTTGTTGACCAAGAAAGTACCTAAAAGGTATGATTTCTATAAATTTGCAAAATACAAAAAAAAAATGCGAAAAGTGTGAAAAATGTGAAAAGTTGAGATTACATTGCATAAAAACTTAATGGAAAAAAAAAATGAACTATTAATTTAATCCAGTGAGAAATTGAGTGGTTCACGGTTAGTTGATCACCCTGTATGTATAATTAATGTAAATGTATCAAAGAAAGCTATGCACTACAGATCCAACGAGAGCTGCATGGTAGTTAAGAGAATTTTTTAAATAACATTATAGAAATAAATAATTGTTTGGACGATCGACCGGCTATGGCAAGTCTTACGTTTATAGAAAAAATTGATATCACATAATACAAAAACAATATGAAAGAAAAAAATCTTAATTTCTTATTAAACCCTATGAGATATTAAGTGGATTATGATAAAAAAAATCATTCTGGATGTACCTTTTATATAAAACCATATTTATAAATGTACTGGGATACATTTCGCTGTACAACTGAACGCTGGGCGTTTTATACTTCTCGTTATAACAAATATTCATTACAGACACATTTGAATCATTGCTTTTGTTTTTATGTATTATCTCATAAAACGTTTGTTCAGTTTTTGAAGTGACACTGCGAGGGTCGAATAACTGCAAAATAATTTTTATTGCCTGAAATAAAAAAAAGTGCTTTAAACTAACATTATATATTATGTACATTTTTTGCACACTTTATTTATTGATTGTAATTAATAATTTTACATTTTCTTAACATTAATAATATCTGTTACCTGATGAGGCATTCGAGCAATTAGCGAATCAATGCTTTTTAAATCAATCAGATCATAAACTTGTACGATTTCATGAACACCATAATCCACAAAAAATACTTTTACCTATGACAAGAAGAAAAAGCATTACTATAATAATATTCTTAGGGAAAAATATTTTTTAAGTCGGAATTCGAATAAAATACACACACAATAAGCACACTACAATAGTTGTTTTTGTGATGGAGGGGGAGAAGAAAAAGACAAATAAAAAAAAGTTTCAACAGACCCCTTCTCTAGCCATAAGACAAAATATTCAAGTTAAATATTAAAAAAAAAAAAAAACTACAATATATTTGTTAATTCCCCAAAAATTGTGTCACTACGACATTCGGCTAGGGATAATCTTTTTTTAAGGGTGGACGGCTCTCTAAACGAAGAGACAAGCCATTCTCCTATATGGCATTACAGAAACCAGCAATATGATGCCCCAAAAATTCTACCAAAAAGGCTAATGCTACCCAAATTAAAAATATTTTATTTGTAATCGCCAAAAAAACATTTTATACATACTTTTGTTTCGTCAACAAAATGGATAACTTTAACACGACCTTTTGTGTTGTTGTACGCAGCTAAGTATATATGTCTGTAGTCAATTTCTCTCTTATGTTTGATAACAGGTGAAGAAAAGGCAACGTTTGAAAATAATTTTTCAAAAAATTCTACCAACTGATTGTCTTTTAGTCGAATATACCAAAAACCATCCACAATTGACAATATTTTGGCTTCAATAGAGTTGTCATTCAACTGTAAACAAAAATTAAAGTACCGTTTGTGTTAACGTTTTCTTTTTTTTTTAGTTGTAGAAATACTGTTTTCTCTTTCTACTTACCGAAGGATCTAACTTAGGAGTGCATTTTTCTAAAAATTTGTTTACCAAAACTTCAGTCATGTTGGCCATAGTATCAACATCAAACAAATTTATGGTGGGCGGACTTGATAATGTTTTATCTGGTGAAATTGTGAATGTTTTGCCGACTAAATCGTCAATTAAAATATCTTTAAACACTTGAAAATCACCAATCCACTTCAATTTGCTTAATGAAAATTCAATAGCCTATTATAATAAGATATAAGTATCACTGTCATTATAATTATACATTATTGTAAACATAATATTTACATACTTGAAATGAAATAATTACATTAACTAATGAGCATAAAATAAACTGAGAGAACCTGAGATTTGGTTTGATAAAATTCTGGATTCAGATGATAAAGCTGACTTTTGCACACATTTTTATAGTTTCCTGTATCAATTTGGAATATTTTGACAGTATCCTCATCACAATTTGTACAATATCCAACGCTTTTTACTGTTACCCTGTGCCATTTTTCATTGTGACAAAGAGCATAGTAGTTTCCCACTTTGGGATCACCTTTTATTGGTTTTTGATTAAATGTATTTGACATAAAATTGCTAAAATCGTTTTGCATTTTTATGAAGTCTTCCTAAAAAATATACATTTTAAACAATCAAAAAGAACTCTAGAATGTCTCAACACCCTTCAAATTTCAAAACAACCGGACTAACTATGCATAAATTGTACCCACTTATAACTACGCTACATTGTATTTTATTTTAATTCTAAATAATTAAAAAAAAGAGACAACTCTTATGAAAAAGTTGTCGAGCTACACTTATTGAAAGGTGGAATTTTATTAAGTATTAGATAACACTTCTGTTGACAATTAATTCTGTTAATACTTAAGTTGTAATATCCAAGTCGTAAGAAGTTTCGAGTTTCAATTTACAATGTAGCTGGTCAAATAATATTTTGTACTAAAAAACGGTCGAATTATAGTAACTTATAGTACTTAAGTTATAACTTACTACGTTTGACACCACTACCCACATACTAGAAGAACTATGCACTGAAACTACAACACCATTTTGTTTATGTTCAAGTGTTTGCTGAACGATTTTATCGTCGTGATATATAAATGTATTTACTTGATCATCATCTTTGGTGTTACTTGGGGTTAAACATTTTTTAATTGCCTTAAACAGCATTTAAAACCATTAATAATACAAACTTAGTTTAATTGTATTAAAACAATTATAATATTATTAATTCACCTGTACATTTAAAGATTGATCAGTGGTCAGCTCCGCTTTAATATTTCCTTCATCTGGTTGTAATTTAGACACGTAATAATGTGACTACAAATAATATAAACATATAATATTATTAAATTTAAATAATAGATAAGTAATTACAATTTAAGGTAAAAAAGACGACAATACAGGCCAGGACAATTACAGATCTGTAGGTATTTTAAGACAAGTGTACTATCATGAAAAAACCCACTTTGATTGGAAACTGAATCAAAGTCAAGTATACAAACAAGTACATGTACTACACTAGACAAGTTTAGATAATAGATTAAAACTCTAATCAATATTACTTTTAACATTTTGTTTAAAACACTTAAACGCTCAGTGAAACTCTTTGGGTTTTTGGAAATCTTAACAATAGGCTTGTGTACATAAAATGTTAGATCAGAGACTTCAGAGTTTTCTTCTAGTGTTACTTCGGTTTTACCAATGTGTTGATTCGCCTTAAAAAGAAAAATTATGGTTATAAGATGACTAATTTTTATAATATTGAAATTTAAAAAAAAAAACTGTTTAAAAGCAACAAATAAATTATTCAATTGGGCTTATAAAGTATAATATTACAATTTTGTTAAACACATAGACATTAAAAAAAGTTGAGAGAAAATAAATTATTGTAAAATATATTTTCTATTATTTTTTGGACATAAGCCAAAGGTTCTTGCGTGTTTTTTAAGATTTAAGGGTTTTAGGTGTTTTATTGAAAAACACATAAGTTATCTTTTAAACATTTTTTTTAAATTATGACACATGTTAAAAAAAGTTATTAATACTTTTTAATTATCATCTTAAGATTTGTATTTTAATGATTACAATATTTTATGTTGATTTTCACTATAATAATTTACCTCATTATTCGGTTAAAAAAACAAAATGTTTAATAGTTTTAAAAATGATCAATAAAAAAGAGTATTTACTTACGAGTGAAAAATACAATTTTTTAAAATCAAAGATTAATATAAGGACCCTTATTGACCCTTAAAAATATTATTGAAATTTAACCATATTAGAATCAATTTTAGTGTTATACTTGACAATTTAAAAATTAACAAAAAATGGTTGGCAGAAATGAGTTCTTTATTTAATGACATAGGTCTTATATGTTCAAATTTAAATAGAATTAAAAATATTGATTTATTAATTTTTAAAGACTTGATCATAATATTATAATAGATGATAATAAAACAGATAAATAAAACAACTTTAAAAAATAAATATTAAGGTTGTGATATTTTTAAAAACGATGAATATTATAACTAGGTAATATATTTATTAATTTAATATAAATATAAGTTTTTATCATATACTCACATTAAAAGTTGTCATACTTTCTTCTTTCTTCAAAAATTTTTGTAATCGGTTTTGTGCTGGTTGGGAATTAATAGAAGACTTTCTTAATGTAGTACTTGATTGGGGTGCCTGAAAAATAAAAATATAATCTATTGTTATAATTAAATTCTGAATGACGCAACAAGTTGTCACAGTAAAATTTTATTTATTTCCATATTAAATATCTATTAATGAAGTTCCACTACCACTAATCAATTTTCTTATATTAAATCATAAATTAAATATTAGATTGTTAGATAACAAAATTTCTTAAATACTCATAGAGCACTTACACGATGTGTTAAGCTTTATTTTTTATATTAAAAATCAATTATTCTAAAATCAACATTACATGCCCATTTTCTAACAATAAATCACGTTGAATACACAAATTAAATTAAATTAAAAGGGTATTTGAGAAAGGTGACTTGGAACAAATACATAAAACAAATGTTATAGAATAATTGAGTACACCGCTTATAATTGTAAATAATAGTAAATGTTAATAAAAACTGTTAATGATTTTATTATGGTAAAACAAAAAGGTTAGTACAGGACAGAAGTGAAACCATAACAAAAATAAGAAGTATAAATTGAGAACCTACATTACGAAGTTTGCGACGAGCTTTCTTTGAGACCTTTAAAGCATTACTTTTCTTTCCAAAAATAACTTTGTTCTGTAATAAAATATTAACTTAAACAGTATAAAATAAGTATTTGGTAAATATTAAGTTAAAAACGTACGTCTTTAACAACATGTTGTTTTTCAACAGCAATGGTAACTTTACTTTCAGTTAGCAACGTCTCACTGACCTTAGCTTGTACAGTTTTAATAATCACCTAAAATAAATAACAAAACATTAAACAAATTTACGAAATACAGAACTACAATATATTGATGCATTAGTTGAAAATTGTAAAAAAAAAATACATTGTTGTCAACTTAATATTCATCACAAAAAAATTTGAATAGGTCTTAAATTATTATTCACCTAAAATGTTTTAACTATATTACAGAAGACAGCTCAACATTTTAAACTGATAACTTTTTTTTTTAAATTTTGAGTGGTTGCAGTTTTGAACTCGAGTTAGGTAATATATACATATTAGGTCATTTTTTATTTATTATATATAGAAAGAATAAGTGGCCAAGTGGGTGAAACGTCGGTGTGTTTGGCATTCACTGTTACTGATTCGATACTTGATCAGGGACGCTTCATTTGCCAGGCGAGAAATTGCATGGTAAGAATGTTGCAACATTCCCTCTTTGGTGACTGACCAATGACCCATCCCGTATAGTGAATCCGTCAGAAACCTCCTCCCTAAGGGAAGCACTGATAGCCCTGCATGGACTACTGCTGATTCTGATATAATATAAATATTTATTGAAATGTAGCTTATGCGGCTCATTAAGCGCTACCAACGTATCCTGCTAGGAGGTTTTGTAATGGATATGCTAACCGCCATGGATCAATAGTGCACCGCCAGAAGATTGGTTTCTTTTTACTGGACCGTTTCTCGTCAGCAAATACAGCCACTCAAGGCAGAATGTCAAAACACTGACAGTGAACATGAAAACACTGCGTAATGACGAACCCCAATCAGCCACTTGTTCTTCTCTTATATTTCAGTTATTTGATTGACTTAATTAGTAGTTATTAATTAATAAATATACTTACATTATCTACATTTTTACTTGTATCTATAGTTTTACTAGTTGTCAGTTTCTATAAAAATAAATCATACATAATATAAGAAAAAAATCCATAATATTTAATAATCAATTTTAAATCTTACAAAACTGTTTATAGCAAACATTGAACAAAACAATTCCTTAGGAAATTCATTATTTGTAGGAACTAACATTTCAGTATGTGCAAATTGATTAAAAATTAGAGAACCGAGACAACTAAATTTTAACATGAACATTTTTAAAAAAGTTACTAGAAACCGAAATGTAGGACAGTTTTACATATTTTCAAAGTTTGACAACTTAGGTCAAAATTGTTTTAATATGTACTTTTACAGTAACAGAGCGCCTTAAACAGTCCTATAATTTCATGAATAATTTAATTTTTACTACTTTCAAGCAAGAGCTGGATGGAGGCCAATAGGCGGATATCAACTTGGTTGTTTCTAATTTAGGTTATATGTCATAAAATAATGTAGAATATAATTTTAATTAATTTTATGGCCCACCATTTGATTTACCTACAAGCCCTGTCAAACCGTCCTTCACAATTGGGAAGCACTGAGTGTAGTTATCACATTGTTTACCTATGATCATAGGCGGACTTAGGGGTTGATTTTTGGGGGGCTTTAGTCCCAGACAATATTTAGACACTGATGTAGCCTACAAAATCTTTATTTTTCGTAAATTTTCCGCTTTAAGTATGTGTGGCATGTATATGCAATATTTTGTTATATTTTTTATTGATGCAATATGTATAATATTATAATCGAAGTTGTTTATCAACTGATAACAAAATTATTACTATATAGTATATACTATAAATATACTGTTAATTTATATTTTACACTTGCTGACTACTTTTATTATAGTTTGAGTATGTTTATATACAAAAAATATTTGCCCCCCTCAGGCTCTAAGGCCCCTCAGGCCCAAAGCCTCTACTGTAGAAGTGTTTATAATTAATTTTTTTAAATTTTTTTCTAACTATAAATCGAATTAATTTTCTAATAGCTTAATCAAAAATTTGCCTTTTAACGCCTATACATCATTTTTTCTATTTATTTTAGCTAAAAAATGTCCAAAAAAATATAAAGTTTAGTTTAATGTTCTCGATGAGGTGATAGAAGGCTAGAATACTATTATTTCCATTCACATACTTCGTCTATAATTTAAAAAGCGTATTATACAAAAATGATTTATTCCATAACAAACCAGTTTTCAGTTTTCACTAGGTACATTATTGTTCTATACTTAATGGATGAATTAAATATTTAGGTTAAAATTTGACTTCTAAAAGTTATCTTCAACATTTATCCTTTAAAATAATACCTACTGTAAAATTGTTTTGTTTAAAACAACTACAGTAATTATAATTCAACTTACGAATATAACTTGCTTCACTTGCCAAAACAAACCGAAATATTTTTGATGTATTAAAAACACTATCTGCACTATTTGTCAGTAAAATAGGCAATGAATTGGTTATATTTTTTAGCATGGCATAAACCTATAGAAAAGAGATATACCCCAAAATGTTTTAACATGAAAAAAAAATAAAAAACATTTCATTTTACCGCGGGTTTTTAACTATTTTTATAATATCTGCGATAAGTTTGTTTTATTATTAATATATATATATACCTACAGCAATCTCTTTTATCGTTAAATTTTTTTTTTCATTATAAGACTACTAATACAATGTTTATACTTAGCTGTGAAAAAATAGTCTAAAATGACAAAAAAACCCTTCACCCCACATTCCCAATAGGTCTTGCCGCCAGACGGTTGCAACCAGAATAATATAAAGCATCAGAAGTTGCCTTGTGTAAAATGACACCTTAACCACAATCAAACGTTATCCAACTAGTCTAAAAAACCTAAGTATTGAATTATATATTATAAAAAAGGCACATTTGAAAAAAAATACGGTTTTTATACATTTTTAGGTAATAGAAAATTAAATAAGAATTTTACTGAAATAAAAAAAGCCAATTGGGTTTGGGGGGGCTAAATCATATATTGGGGGGGGGGCTAATGCCTCTTTAGCCCACCCCTAAGTCCACCTATGCCTATGATAACAATAATAGGGGCATCCGCCAAAAGTTTATGGTAAGAAAATATTAATGTAGCTCCCCTTTCAGAAAAAATGAATTATAATTGTAACATGATTTGTTTTTTTTTCTTCAAAAAATTGAAAGTAATAAAATATTTCAAAAGTTAATTTTTTTTTTTTTTAATTATTTATAAAGTCATAAAAATAACTTTTTTTAATAGTTAGCACAGATTGTAATGAAATTATACAACACATTATATTAATTTCATTATTAGCAAAGACTGTTCATACATGTTGTACTTACATTTAAATTAGTAGAATGTGTTTCTTGTATCTATAAAAAAAAAATGTAAGTTTAAGATTTTTTTATAATAAATAATTTATACAACCATAAACTAATTTGAGTTTTAAACTTTCAGTTTTATATTAATACTTATTAGACATTATGATAAGGTATTATCAGAAAATAAACGTACTTACGTCAATGTTTTTAGGCCATCTCGGTTTATCCATTGAAGAATAAATTGAATTAGGTTTGTAGATCGTATTTTTAGGGTATGCGGATTGCTAAATAAAAAATATTTATTATTTTTTGTAAACATATTTTTAAATAAAAAAATTAATGTGTTGCAATTGTGAGTCATAAATTATAATGAAAATATTTTTTACTGATGATTTAACATACTGTTTCCCAAGTAAAAAAAAAAGGATGGAATAAAGATTTTTAAGAAAATCCTATATAATATTTATAGCCACAGTCTAGATCTACTCATAATCTAATTTTTAGAATTCAAATCTAAAATTTTGCTGGAAAATGAGAAATAAAGAAATAGTTTTCATCCCTTATAGGGGCATGGGTTTTTGATATATGTTTAATTTGTCAAGGTATATTGATAGAACTATATCTAAGAATATTCCACACAAATTTTAAACTAATTAAAATAAAGAAATCGCTTCAGCGGTTTTAAAGATATCGTGGGTACACACATACAAAAAAAAAAACCCCCCACTATTAAAATTAACAATTTTACTGTTCATATACGTTATTCTTTATACTCTTTTCTTTTTTTTTTTGTTAAAATACTAAAATATTAGTTAGCAAATGCTATAAATCTGAAAAATACTATTTACAACATTATATACTCACATTATAATTACTTGTTTTATTACTACTTATTGCAGAATAAGAATACATAGGAGCAGGTTTATTGAAAGTCCGTTTTGAATAATTTTGTTGCTAAAAAAACACATTTTTAAAATATTATCAAGATTAAGTTAATAAAGTTAATCACATAAAATGTATCTTATAAAATTGTGATAAACGATGATTTATTTTCTAAAACAAAAATATAACTAAGTTAGTTATTATTATTATTATAAATAACTAAATGAATCAACTAACCTTTGGCTGACAAGTCCTATAATTATAATAATTAGGTCTGTTTGAAGTATATGTAGAATATCTTTTTCGTTTGGACTACAAAAAAATAATAAAAAATGACAATTAACTTTTTTTCTTAAAAAAATTAAAAACTGAAGATCGTTTTGTTAGTAAAATAAAGTCAAGTTCTGGTCAAAACTTATTTTTACTCTATATTAAAACTTATTATTGATAACAATATACTTAATATTTTTGTAAATGATTATATCTGTTTTTCACAAAAATAAGAATAAATGTTAATCTTGCTAAAACTGCCAAAGCCCTTGATCATAATGTGTTTTGAGGACATGAAAAGAAGCAACTAATATGTTGAGCAACAGAGAGGTGCCGTTTAGAGAAAAAGGGAGTTTTAGATGATAATTGGTCATACAAGACTAACCCAGAGCTTTTTAATGTTCAAAAAGGACCCACTTACATGTTTAACAAGCAGAGTTAAGGTAACCTCTGTTAACCATTTTCTGACCAAATGCAAGGCTTACACAGAAGAAAGGAACAAATTCATGATAGCAAACCAACCAAATATCTCATACATCTCTGGTACTAGATCAAGATGTCATCATAAGCCTGTTCGCCTTTCTCAGAAGTATGAGACTCAAGCGCAAAATTTACATTTTTTAATAAACTATATTTGTGCTATTATATTGTTATTTGTTATATATATATATATATAATATTCTTAAAATATATATATATGTATATATTATCTAAACTCTAAGCTAACTATGTAACTATGTAAATATCTGTGTTATGCCAATGACCTTTGATGACAAGGCAAAATAGTAATAAAAAAATAAGTAAATAAGAGTGTTAAATGGATGAGTGTGTGTGGGTTAAATAGAATTAAAAATGAAATAAGGGGTAATAATGTTAGAGCGATTAGAGTAGAAGAATTTAAAGGAACAATAAACCAAAAAATCATAAAAAAGGATAAAATGTGGAATAAAGATTAGTCGACTTAAGTTAGAATAATATGAAGAAGAGTATCAAATAGTAAAAAGTAAAAAGAACAATATTTTAAGTTTAATTTATTTAATAATTAAAACTATTATTTATTACTACTATTATATTAGCGGTAGTATTACTTTTTTGGAAGAAGTTTTTTGCTTTCGTATCATTTGTTCTAAATGTGCTGTTTTTCCACTACTTAAGCAACTGACAATGGTGTCATATCCTCTTTTTTCCAGTTTAAACGCTCCGAGAGACTGAATAAATTCGCCAACGGATTTATAACCCAACTTAAGGTATGGTAAACGTTCACCAACAATGTTTTCGTAATCCCCTAAAATATATTATCATATTGATAAATCAAAATGATACCCTATAAATAAAGTACTACAAATATTTTTTATTATTTACTACACTACTAATATCTGTACCTCAGAACCAGACAAAACATAAGTCACGTCATAATACCAACTTTTCAGGGGAGTATATAAACGTTAATTGTCTAGAACATGCACTCAGGAGGAGCTACAATTTTTATAAGTTTTAACACTTAGAAATTATAAAAGGAGATTTTTTAACAGTTGGAATTCCCACCCATGACTTGGTGCAAAATAAGATTCTACATGCAATACTGAAATAACCTAAACATGTTCATTATTTAACTTACATTTGTTCAGTTGTAAGGTACAGATACACAGAATACAAAAATTTAAATACATGTATTATAGAATTCCTTAAAAAAAATTGAGTATACACATATGTGTATACAAGATTATAATTTTTTTTTTGATATTTAACTAAAAATGTTAAATGTTTCAATGTTGCATAAACATTTAATTAACCAATACATGTTTAAGGGTTCTTTAAGCATAATTTAGTGGTCTGTGATAGGTCCATTAAATTTTAATGAACCATTAATCCATTTAATGTATTAATTCTTTATGCAACCTAGTATTAAAATACAAATCAACATGAACAAAAAGCAACATCTAAGTAGAATAGTTTTAAATAATAAAATACAAATTTGAAAAGTTTAAAATAATTATTAGTTAAAAATTTGAATTATTAATTAATATTAAGTAATAGAGCACTGGAATGTAGAAAATAAATTACTTTAAAAAGAAGCTATACTTACTCTCGACCATTTTTAAGTCTACTCCGCCCTTATTAGAAGTAATAGTGGCTTTTAAATTGGTTTTAATTTCATCCAAATCATATTGGTCCATATTTCTGAAAGAAGTAATAAATATACTTTACAGGGAACATATTATGTATTATTTAAAAAATTTTATAATATTAACTTTTATTTTAAGGTTAATCAAATAAAATAATAATCGTACAGATTATAAAATATTGAAATATGAACATAACTTTTGAATATTTTATTAAACTAGATATTGTTAAACTAAAATTTTAGTAACCTGTGTAAAATAATATTAAAAAAAAATGGATTAATCAAATTGTACTACCATGTTTATTTTTGAGTCAACTACGGTAAAAGTTTATCTCACACAAAAAACATACTAAACAGCACATAAAAGCCAACTTTATAAGATTAATCCAAAATATTATTACAAGTGATGGAAAATGTAAGACTTCTGAAATGTATGCAGAAAGTCAGTTTTTAAATATTTAATTTAGTAATTTAAGTAAGTATAGCTGTATCCTAAAAATGTTCTGTATAAATCTATGTTCTATCTAATTCTATGTTTGTATCATCAATACGGGCGCGCGCGTAAGTCAAAATCTGCGAACTTCAAACGTCTGTAACTTCCAAAGTAAGTGCGAGCGGCCCAAAATTTTGTGCAGATTCGTAATCAGCATGCAAAATACTATCGATTTAAAAAAAAAATGGTGTCCGGTAAAGTAGATTTGTTCCAAATTTTCAAATACTAATAAAACATACAAGCTTCATCCAATTTAAAAGAGACCCCTACAGTAGAACTTCAGGCATTTTTGCAAATAATAGAACATATTTTTCAGAATTCCCCTTTTAATTGATTCACTGGTCAGAATAACCAAAGAAGATTTTCTAAGCAATTTTAATAAAAAAATTATAATATCTTATTACAAGTGCAATGCTGATTGATGATACAAACATAGAATTAGGAAGGGGGGTCGTGAGGGGGGTTGTAGTAAAATAACAACTCGTTAATTGCATTACAAACTGAAGAACAACAGAGATTTAAGAATAAGATGAAAGATGAATGCAAATTACATTAATTAAACAATTTAAAACTATGTATAAGTACCTGGATTAAGTCGCTCAAACGCAAGTTTTTAAGTTTAAACCAAACTTTTTCGTGGGTTTAAAGATGGTTGATCAAAACAAAAACGCATTTACTACGCCAACAAAATATTAAAGTAACTTAGAAAAATGGAAATTTTGACTTATTCAACGACAATTAAAAATTAAAAATCGTAGTTCGTGGTCGCACAAAAAGCCGGCTACAAAATAAAAATAAAAAACATACTTCTACTAATAATTCAACAGTTTTAGCTTAAAGTCATAGTAGGTCAAAATAATTGTCAATACGTTTATTTCAATTCTTACTCAACTGTAAATTGTAAAGACTAAAGTGTAAACAGTTAACAGACAATAGTGAATAATGCTGGCCGAGAGCCGTCAACGGAACTTGGCATTAGGCAAAAACTTTCCCTTCCCCTTGCCGGTATGTAACAGTATGACCACTGTGTACCATAATGTACATATTTAGTTCAACTTTTCTGAATGCTGGTCAACCTGTAATCCGTAAGACAACAATATTACAGCTGGCGCGCGCTCTTATCTAAATTTTAAACTCTAAAATTTTGATAATATAATATCATATTATTAATATATACTCAAGTCTTAAACAAGTGTACTATAATAAATAATATTATATTTATTACGATATCGATATGAATTAAATAAAACTCCATACAGGTACAAATAAAAGGTTGATACAAACACGATGTGATGATTCTTTGAAGAAACTAAACGACTAAATCAGCCTAGACTCTCGTTTAAGAGATTTGCTCTCTCAAAAAAAATTTAAGTGTAGAAAATAACGAGTTTTTTTTACTATTAAAACGAATTAAACGTTTTTATTTTTACATGCATATTTTTTCTCGTCGGTTCATTCAGTAGACCTTTAACTATATTGTAATGAGTTTCAATCAATCAATATTATACGATTTCAAGTTTTTTTTTATATTTAAGGTTAACATTTGTTTGTATATAAAAACGATGTACTTAAATACACGAATGTCAAACGAAATAATTATGATCTAGATTGTTTACATCTCGGTACAAGGCTGAAGGGTCATACCAGACTAACCAGAGAGTGAATAATTGTTAAACGCAATAAATTGCTCTCTATTAAGTCATCCGGTTGATACCTTTATCATCTATTTCCGAGTCGTATAACTGCGGTCGCTAACAATATAAACATGTAAATATACTTCATTTGTAATCTACATTCAGTTGCGACTAAGGCCAAATGTCTGCGATCGCAAACAAAGTACTTTATCTTACCGAAAGGACACTTATTACTGTTATTTGTTGTGTTCAAAATTAACGTTAAGTGATTCTAACTAACTAACAATCCGCAATCAAATCTAAAATATGGGTACCTACTTTACAAATGTATTCATAAAATAAGTTAATTTACCTAGTATCTGGATTGTGATGCCAGATGTGTAATTTAATATAATAACTTTAAAATTAGCACAAAATACCCAGGTAGTTAAAGAAGAGCGCGAACGTAGCAAAAATAAATATTTGAGGTACCTAAATATATTCTATTTTAACAGGATTATAAAAAAATCGTTCATTAAAACTATTGAACTTTAATTTTTATCTTGAAAACTAGTACTAAAAAGTAAGAACCCAAAGAAATGAAACCCATTCATCTAACTTCGATTAAATCTAAATACAATTCATTGTCATCAATAACTTTGTTTTCAATACATTTTTTAGAACTAAAATGCTTTATGCTAATACAATAGAAAATTACTATCGAAGTGTGTTTATTAACCCTAATGCCTACTTCTAAAAACGAAATCACGTTCAATACTTACAAAATAGTTTCATTAAATATTATACTTAAAACATTCGTTTATTAAAAACTTAATAGGTAAAATCATTATCTCGATACAAGTCACAATATGTATACTCGTACAATAATTGTACAGTACAGTTAAATACTTTTATACAGATTTTTTTTACCCTAATTACAACATTAGCTACATCGTTCAAAAATGAATAATATTCTATAATAATGATAGGTGACCAGACTATAAGAAGTTCAAACAGTAAATAATATTGTCAGCTGCTGTGATTAGTTAAAACGTGCGGGTTCGTCCCGATCTAGCAATAACAATAATTGCTAGTAACAATAAAAAAAAACATTTTATTCATAGTTGTTATTAACTGAACTAAAAAGGAAGGTACTCTCAGTCCTTAACATCCGTACACTTGTCATTCAATCATGTATTATTTAGCATATCCGTCCGACCCCTTTAGTCAGTGTGTCCTGTAAAAGGCTTGTAGTGCTCGTGCCACCGCATCGCACTAACCATCGATTCGGCCATTGGAAATTAAATAGATATTTTTAATTGCGATTTATACGAGTCCTATCGAAAAACTTGCATTTTACCTAATATCTACAAGTTTTAAAATTATTATTATATATGCATGGTACACATGTATACTGCATATTAAACTGTGAAAAGGAAAATTCGTTAAGCTGCTTAATTCAGGTAATAATACTTTGTTATTTTTATCATGTCCACCGAGATATATAATTCAACCTCACCCTAATTAACTAGTATTATTTTTTTACTTTCTCAAAATTAGACACTGCTTACAAGTTGACAATCATTTTCCTACAAATATATTTAGGTTTTAAATTGTTTCGTAAATAATTACATTTTTTAGTACAGAATTGGTTTAGCAAACATTTTTTTAAATTATTTTTTTTATTAAAAAATAAATATTACACACTGCGTATCGTACTCACATGATCAATGGCTCAATCTAAGTTTCTTCTTCATGCCGTCAATGTTTAGCCCTAATCTATTTAGTAAGAGACAATACAAATATACGTAGGTACACAGGTATATTATAATTTTTTATAAATTCTGATAATATCAAGTTATTTTTAGGTGAAAGATTACCGAAGCGACTATATATTTATTTAAAGGGCAAAAATAGGCAATATTTGACAAAAAAAAAAGTGATCTTTCAACTTTTATCAATTTATATTAGTTTTAGCCTTAAGGGTATATTTTTTAACCTTTTATATTGTTTAATATAAGTAATAAGTTATAACGTGTATAAGTTAATATAACGTAGATTTATTTTGCTCAAAATAAAGATGACACCTCATTGAATGATAGGATTTTGATCGTTTTTATTTTTGTTTGAAAGAGGAAGACAGATCAAATGACAGAAAATAGAAATTTAACCTTCACAAACTTTCTTATTCAAACTCTTATTACGATGTGTGAAAATTGAATTTTTGTAAATCGGAGTTCTATGAAATCTTCCTCGTTCAAAGAAAAAGTTATCAAAATCTTTTATAACCTAAATGATACGTCCTCTAGTCTCTATTAAAAGGTAAGTAGGTACAGACAGGTAGTATAATACTCATTAAATAAAATTATGATTTATGATAGGTTATTTTTTTTTGTATTATTACTTATAGATAAAACGACTTAATTCCATGTTGTATGTTTTGTCCATAAATTAATAGGTATTCTACAGTAAAGTAGGTAGGTATTCTGTATTTGTTAATAGTAATAAAAATAAAAATAACTCCGTTGAACACAATTTTGATTATTAGTAATTAACATTAAAATTAATTAATACACTTTAAACGTACCTAATAAAGATACAATTGTTTAATAAGCATTTAGCGGTAGTACCAAAACAAACGATATTATTCATTGCTCACCATTTAAGCGGTTGGACTCAAAAAGTTCGATTTTATAATTTTGTTACTTCTATTAGCCAATTTTAAAGAGATAAATTTATTACAAACTTATCAAATTCAAATTTATTTAACGACTTTTGTGACTTACAAGTTACAGTAAGCAAATATGATTTAGACGTAGTTATGTACCTGCTTATATTATAATATTATTACCTTATTCAGGAGCGTATTTATGAGAGGGGGGCTGAGGGGGCTTCAGCAGTCAAACAGTTAGGCAAACTTGTTTTAAAACCCTTGACGAAATTGAAAGATGCATTAGAAGAGTTCAGAAATCACGAAAAAAATAATTATCATAAAAATTCGTTGCTTACCGCTGATAACATAAAGGCTATTTTAGATAAAAAACAAGATAATATATTGGTACAATTAAATAATAAACAAAAGGATGAAATTTTAAAAAATCGCGAAAAACTTAAACCAATTATTCAAACAGTTAGATTATGTGGCAGACAGCAAATAGCGATAAGGGGACATGAGGATTCTGGTCGAATCTCTTTAGAAGAACCAAAAAATAACGATGGTAATTTCCGTTGTTTGCTTCGATATCGCGCAAAAAATGGTGATAACGTATTAAAAGAACATTTAGAAACTAGTGGTGGTAAATCTATGTATACAAGCTCACTTATACAAAATGAAATAATTAATGTGTTCGGGGAATTAATTCAATTAAAAATACTTAAAAAAGTATTAAAAACAAATGTTTATACAATACTAGCAGATGAAACCACTGACATATCTCAAGTCGAACAATTTTCCTTATGTATTCGTTATGTTGACGAGGAAATTTTTTCAATTCGAGAAGATTTTCTCACATTTGTTCCCGTTCATGATTTATCTGGTGAACGATTGGCCAACACGATTAAAGAAACTTAAAAAAAAATGGGTTTGATTTAAGCAAAATACGAGGCCAAGGTTATGACGGGGCAGCAGCAATGCGTGGTCGTTTTAGAGGTGTTCAGGCAATCATTAAAGATATGTACCCAAAAGCATTATACACATACTGTGTAGCACATTCATTAAATCTTTGCTTATCAGACGCGTCTAAATCTCTAGATATTCGAAATGCTTTTGGTATAATAAGTGAATGTTGCTCATTTTTTAACTGTTCGGCAAAACGAACTACAGTCCTTAAAAATAAAATACTAGAAATTAAACCAAATTCACAAATCACAATCCACTAAATTAAAATCTTTATGTGAAACTCGATGGGTATTACGCCATGAAGCAGTTATGCTTTTTAAAGAATTTTTAGAACCCATTCTTGCTGCATTAGAACAACTGCAGAATGAATGTTCTGGAACGGATTCTTCAATAAGGACTAATAGTCTTTTACATTGTATTTGTAATTTTAATTTTTTAATATCTGTTTGCGTATCTAGTAAATTATTAAGTTATACTTATAATTTATCTAAATATTTACAAAGTAGAAATATCGATCTTTTTAACGCTCTTAAACAAGTTACCCAGGTGGTTTCTGTGTTAAATACCATAAGAGAAAACGTTGATTTAAAATTTAACGATATTTATAAAGACGCCCAAGATATTGCTATAAAGTTAAATGTTGAACCAAAAATACCTCGAACATGCAGCAATCAAAAAAATAGAAGCAATGTCCCGTTTAATAATATTGAAGATATTTACAAAAAAACTATTTTTATACCGTATTTGGACGATTTAATAATGGCATTAAATGAAAGATTTTTACCTCATAATGAAACTATAATTTCATTACAATTTGTCTTACCTCGTATCATAGTTGAAAAACCATTTTTTAATTTTAAAAAAGCTGTCGAATTTTATAAAAGTGATTTACCTGGGCTAAACGACATTATAGAAGCAGAGTATGAAATTTGGCAGGCTAAATGGAAAAATATTGAAGAAAACTTAAGACCTGCAACTGCTATAGAAGCTCTAAGAGCCTGTGATCGTTTAATGTACCCTAACATATTTGAATTACTAAAAATACTAGCTATAATTCCAGTATCCACCGCTACGGCTGAACGCAGCTTTTCGACTCTTAGAAGACTTAAAACATATTATAAGAAATACAACTTCTGAGTCCAGGCTAGTAGGACTAGCACTTTTATCCATTCACCGAGACATTGATGTAAATGATGATATGGTATTAGACAAATTTGCCAACAGTGGTAAAGAGAGAAATTTGAATTTAATATAATTTGTTTTACTATTATTATAATTAGTATTAATAAGTATTAATAAGAATTATAATTTCTATTTTATTATATAAAATTTTGTAAGACTTGAGATTTTGTAACTAATAATAATTATATCAGAATTATAATATAAAAATTTTACACTTAATTTCGAAGTCTTGTTTTTAATAGGTTGAGAAATGGGTAAGTTTGGCCAAATTTTTAAGGTTTATTTCTGGATCAGAATTTAGAAATAACTCTTTACACAGCTCTTTTACTCAATGCCTCAGCCCCCCCCCCCCCAAAAAAAAATATCTAAATACGCCCCTGACCTTATTATTATATTAACACCATTTTTTAAATTAAATATTCAAAATAATAAAGTATACAAATAATATTTGATTTAATAATTTACGGTGTTTTATATTTTGTTTTTAGTAGTTTCAATATCAAGACAATATATTTCAACATCAGGAGAGACAATTGTAATTCGTCATGTCGCGTGAAGTCGATATGGAGAGTCGATTTATTAAGACCCATGGAATTTTGACATTGAAAAAACTTCAGTAACTTTTATAAAGTCGCATTTATTATTTTTTATTCGGTATTTATATAAGCTTTGTTTTTAAGAGCAATTCATGATAGACGTAAGTCAATTAATCAGAAGATTGGTCATGGTGTAATCAAATTGGATGAACTATTAAGACAAATAAATATTGAACTGGACATTTTCAAGTCGTGTCAACATAAAATTAGTGTAAGTATATTAATTAATAGCCTAAACATTTTTTTAAATTTAAATTTAAATAACTATATACAGCTGTATACGTAATTTTTTTTTTATTGCTTTCTACAGCAGTTGTTTATAAATAAATCTAATGGCGATAGAAAAAATGAAGTACTCAAAATTATATCAAATCGTATAAATGAAATGTATAAATATTTGTTTACATTATTTACTGTAGATAATAATCATTTAAATTCGTACATTGAGTTTTGTTCAAGAAATGTAAGTGAAGCAATTATTAATTTTATTAGGTACCTATATTAATTAACAACTATATAAATAATTAATGATGCATTTTGGATCAAATTAAATTTTCATTAGGGGCCTATATTATAATATTTGTTAAAAATAATTTTAGGATTTGTTAATTCCATGCAGCAAGTTATTAAGCACATTGGTGATGCAAAAACAAAACGATCCTGAATTATATTTAATTGCTGCGGAGCTTGAGTTTAACAAACTTAATAATATTGAACAGGCTCGACTGTATTACGAAAAAGGCATACATGAACATAGCCAAAGCAAGGAGCTACGTTTAAACGAATATCGGATGGAGATACAGCATTTGCATAGGATTAAGCATAACAATTTTTTTAAATGGCATGAGAAGTACTTGGCAGCAATTTATGATTTTAAAAATGATATTAATCTGCATATAGAACTGTTAGACGCTTCTTTAATATTACAATTCGACGGACTTAATTCGCTTATTGTCAGGTAGAAACTATAGTGGTACATAGTTCAAATAATATACTGATATTTCCCAATTTACAAGAAAATATGTTCTATTCTAACCATATATAAACATTAGAAAACAGAACATTTGTTGTTAGTGTTGAAATATAAACGATTTGTGTTACTTTACAGCGATTTAATACACTTTTATAAAGATAACGAATTACTTTGGCACAAATTGGCAAGAATGCAATTGAATGGTTATAGTTACAATCATCTTACTAGATATCTGTCTTTTACTGGCGAGTCGATGGCAGTACAGTAAGTGTCTATTTTATAAATTTGCCTGTCCACTACACCTATTGAAATACGCACGACCATTACATAAAATATGGATATTGACTAGCACTTTTGTGTAGTCGTTCTTAATATTCTAAACTAGTTATATTACACACACATACTAAAAATCTTTCTTTGGAGTTTAGAAGTAGGTAGCGTAGCTAGAAATCGGCCAAATAAAAAATAAAAAAAATCTTAATTCATAAAGAAAATTACTATACAAAGATAATGGCCCAATAGGACAGCTAAAAATTAAGTCGAAGGGGGGTATATATTCACTGTGCTACTTAACTGATTTTGAGACACATAATATTTTGTTTAAAAATGGTTTAACTTAAGGACATATTTTATGCAAAAATGAACTGTAATGATGTATATAGTAGTGGTGCAAAAAAAAAAAATGTTTTTTTTTACCACCACTAAAAATGTACCCAATATCAATTTTAGACGTTTTTTAATTTCCACAATTATTTGTCTGAAACTATAACTGTTCAATATTTTCTGAATTTGACGGTTTTGTTAGAAACCTAAGAAGTTACTCTTTCGTTTGATATACATAGTAATATCAGGACCGGCCCTAGGGTAGGTCAACTGGGACATATTTTGTCCTAGGCCCCGCGCCATTTCTTATGAGGATTTATCTACAGTTATTTATATTGAAAACAATATTTCTGAATATTTTGGAACGGCCGGGTTGGTTTCCGCGAATCGGTCTAGTCCGGTCGTGGTAACGCGGTTTGTTTTTATTATTTGTATCTTAATGTTATGTGTTACGGTTGTTTACCGATAGCCCTGGTCTGCCTGTCTTTTCTGATTGTATCGGTCGCTGAAAAACCTTTGTGTGGCTCTACACTAAGACAGAGTAGGTATGCGAAGGGGGAACCGATAACGAACGATTTTTTTCGAATTTAAACCTATAATAATAGCGTTTTGATCATAAAATTATTATTATTATTATCGTATAGTGTGATCAAAAATAATAATAATCGATGGGACGACGCGAAGCCTATTATAATAGCATCATCGCTGCTTTATCAAAGTTAATAAACATCAAACAGTAAAATTACATTCTGTAAAACAATATTATTATTTTCAAACGCAGTCCAGATTATCAGCATTGAAGTATAGCGGACTTAGACCCTTTTTACAAAAATCAATAATTTCTCATTTAGGGTTCTAGTAATGGGACCAAAGCCGTTAAAATATGAATCGATGCATCTAAGTAAAATGACAACGAATCATCTGTAATAATCACGTTTTTGATAAAATGTTAACTTAGGCCTTTTCTGCATGAAGCTATTCATTAAATTTATGACAAATCACAATTTTGTATGAAATTCGTCTGCGGTGGCGTAGATTAGTATTTTTTTCTCAAATTACTATTAATACATTTCTTTATCGAGTTTAAGTACCTAATAGTATAATAATAACTTATTAAGCTGCATAACATTTAAAGTAGTAGTAATGATATAACTATAGGTATATTGATGTAAAATGAAAACATTGGAATTTTTGTTCAAACATACCCGTTGGAAAAAAAGGCCCCACAAAAGCTAGGGTCGGCCCTGAGTAATATATAAAATCTAAGCTCGTATAATAGGGTTTCATAGTAATTTTAATAATTAAATATACCTTTTTTATTATTATTTTCAAAGTCAAACTCAAATAAAGATTGAGTATTTTATTGTTAAATTTACAACTTAATGATATAATCTAAAGCTGTACTAAATTTATAGTATTTTATAAATTAAAACTGTTTTGCATACTTAACATTTGCACCATCTTTGTAGGTAGGTAAATCAATTTGATATATATGTGTATACCTACTTACGAGATTAATAATTGTGATTAAAACTAATTAAGCTAATCTTCTAATATAAATTATGTTTATTATAGGAAATGTATAAACATTTATGAGGAAGCTTTTAAAAATACTGAATTAAAAATAAACCAACATCGATTAAGGGAATTATATTGGAATACTGTTGTGGAAATATGTAATTCGGACCGTATGCAAAGCGAGTATAATAAAAGATACATGCATAAAACTTTGGAACGTTCTATTCAAGAGGCAAATTCAAGTGGCACATCACACAATCCTGAAATATGGCTTTGGGTAAGACTGTACTAGTTTGGACTGTATATAGCTTTTTGCAAGAGAATAAAATATGTTAAATATCACATCTTTACTTTAAGGCAAAAAACTGTGATTTAAACGATCGACGGAAAATTTTGTCAGAAGCTGTAAAAGATCTAAGCTCCAGTGTAGTTCTATGGACAGAGCTTTTAAACCTATATATTGCTGAAAACTCTATTAACATTAGCAACATTTTTCTACAAGGCGTTAATGTGTTGAAAGATAATTCACTGCCTCTATGGGAAATCACGATTAGTCATACGAAAAAAATGCATTCGGACAGGGTAAATTATGTTGAATATTGTAAATTATTAAAAAAGTAAAAATAGGTAGGTACTAGTTTAAATAAATACCTACCTTTCTCTCATCAATAAATTCTCCATTTTCTGTGTTTTATCTTTATCCTCAAAATGTACATTGACTGTTTATGGATCAGTAAAACATATAAATAATCAGTTTTTTTTATTAACTACCTTTCTCTATACTGTTATCTACACTCTTTTGTTATTTTAAATCATTAATTTCATTAACTGTCAAATAGTGAATTAAAATCATGGCCACTATGCATATCGATTTTAATAAATTTTATAAATATTCCAATGTTACCAATTCTATCTCAAAAAGTTTAATTTTTAAAGAACCGAAATACTATGATATTAATGCTTCTACCTTTTAATTCCTTCTATCTTTCCATAGCTCTAACTGGAATAGACGACTTTACTGGTCCTGGCTTCGTTGACAAATCTGAAGGCAGAAAAAATAAATTTAACATAGCACTAATACATAGCATTAATTTAGGTCGACAAATTGTATGACCAAGGTTCGCGTGCCGATTATAATGTAGTCGCCCTAGAGATGAGACCTGCTTATCTAGACTGGTGTTCAGCTAACAGAGGAATACTTGCAGCTCGAGGTCTATTTGAAGAGCTCAAATCCCTAACGCCTCCTTGTCAAAAACTGTACACGACTATGATACGTTTGGAAAAGGAAAATGATGGTAATAATGTCAGACGCATAAGAAAATTATACAATGATACTTGTAACAAATTTGGACAAAATGGTACTGGTACGTGGTGAATTGTAAGAGTAATGCTAATCAACTGAATCATATAGCACTTAAGTATGTAAAATATTTTAGAAATTTGGATGGAATGTATTCGTTTTGAGTATACACAAAACGAACTGTATTTGATGGAGCACGTTTTTGCAGCATCGTTGGTTTACTTAAAATCTGATAATATACATATAAATACAATGAAATCATGGTATAATAATTTCAAAAATGAACACAAGTAAGTACAAATACAGAAACAAAAGTAATTGATTAATCTTGTCACACTAATTCTTGTTTTAGAGATGCGTTTACTGACGAAGATCTGATATTAGTATGCAGCGATTAAATTTCTCTCAAACTAATACATGTTTTTTGTCTTATTTTGTTGAAGAGTTTTTTTTAGATTATTTAACACATTTTGTGTGACCTAACCGGCTAAGATATTTGCAGTTTCGTAATCATCATTAAAATACTATCAATTAAAAAAAAAAAATTCGAAAAAAAGGGTAAACTAGACTTGTTACCGTAATTGCCTCTCTGGCTTTTAGAAATTAACGGTATCAGTAACAGTATTATAGTGTACTCAGTCTATTATTAATTAATTGTATATTTGTTTAGTATAGTTAAGTTTATAATATAGTATCGATAAAAATGATAATTTACTGTATTTTATTGTAATTTGTATATTATATTTTTTAGAAATGCCTTTTTTAAAAATAAATGTATTTAATATAACACGATTGTAGTGTCAAAATATTTAAAAAAGCATCATACGTCTGTTATATGACTTAACACTTTACTGAATTAAGAATTTTAACCATAATGACAGAAAATATCTGTCACTCAATTCACTTTTAAAATGAGAAGACAATGTTTTTTTTATAAAGAAAGGACTGTTTTTTATGCAAAAGTTACAAAAAAAAGGACACGATCTTTAGCAACTATTTATTAAAAACTGTTTTTTAGCCTTATCATTGTATTATAATAATTAGCTAAACAATTACAATAAATATGTCATGTAAATTTACATATATTATATATACTGAATTAATAATTGGAAGTTACAATTAAACATTTTTTTTTAAATTATGGTGATGATTTTTACAGCAATATAAATCAACATATTATTATTATATGATAGACAAAGAAAAGTAAAATAAAATTTATAATAATAAAAGTAAAAGTAATTAAAACAAGATAATTAAATTGAAGGGCCGAAGCTCTGTAGGAAAGAAAGGATTTGAAACGAAACGTGTGTTCATCTATGTGGACAGTAGAGCAGACTGATTATTTTGTAAAGAGAGGTCAGAGGAAGGTAAATGAAAATAGGCTTTTATCATACAATGCCAGGTAGGTTATAAAGAGGTGAGAGAAATCGCAAATAGCTTAATTTTAATAGAGAGGACAATATGGAAAAGAATTGAGACTGGAAGTTATGGAAGCAAGAGCGAGAATAGATTAAAAGGGAAATCGAACTGTACCAGCAGGTGGAAGTGGAACTGAGGTTTACTTTAGAGTTTTAAACCATTTATTTGGGCAAGCTTTAGTTACAGTCTGATGAAAGGAGCGAAGGAAGGTATCTTGATGGTAATAGATGGAGTGAACCGCGTTAGTTACCAACAATACCAGCGTAGGCTAGAAACCAATAGATAAAAGAGTTCAATGATCTAATAATTAGAATAAAAGGAAAGAGATAAGAACTGAACGGGTAATAAGATGAGAGAGCTTGTTGGCATAGTTGTGAATGAGCAAATCATATGTACATTATTAGGAGCAGAGGAGATAATAACAAGGGCGTGGAATGTGGACATAATAGCAAGCGACTCTCTGTCATTGAGATTGGTGTAATTTGGATGAAAAGTCTACATTTTAGTCAGGAATATTTTGTGTTTAGTAATAGTTTAAATTTTGTGGAACCTGGTAAAAAAATAGTATAATGGATATTATGGCTTGGAAAACCCTCTTTAATTCCCGATTGAAAATAGTAAAAAGTTCTTAATATTATTATTTAATTAATTACTAAATATTAGTTCTCCATGATTAGTTCCTCGAATCTAGAGGAAAATCTGTTTACATAAGTTACTTTTTTTTCTAAGAAAACAATATTAATTTTGTAGATATTGTTTGTTTTTAGTAAATTTTTGTTTTGACAAGGTATACAATTTCCAAACAATTTAAGTTTTTAGTATTTTCTAGAGCGATAGGTACTCACTTTAAAGTTAAGAATAATTTACTGACAACGAGAACTCGCCAGTAAGCTGATATATTAAAAAATGTCTTAAGAAATTGTACATTATAATTTGATTTTATATACAATTTCTTAAAACGGTGATGACAAAAATATAGACAAAGGAAGCAAACATGGAGCTAAATAATTGTTTTTACTTTTTACCATTGTTTTGCCTATTAAATGTATACTAATTATTGACTTCTAATGTTTTATCTAAATTAGTAATAACTAAGTGAAAAAAAAACAAAGCACAACATAATTTAATTTTTCTAAATTAAAGTAAAAGTATCAATTAATATGATTATAGTATACATTATTATTATTATTATAGGAATATTTTTTATACATAACTACATATATTGAATGTCCAAATTTTTTTAAAAACTAAACTTATTATTAGTTGTGTTTAACACATTATGATATTAATAACTTATTATGTTTTTTGTTTAAATATTGATCACTAATGCTAATTTATATATTACTTAAATATACAAACTCTTAAATCTGGTAAATACCACAAATAATATAGATATATTTGAATTTAAAGACATTCAGGCATGAGAAATATATGAATTTACAATGCTTACATGATATTTAAATAATGATCATATTCAAAGACTTGTATTTGGGTTAGAGTCTTCTGCACAACTAATGATGATTGTATGATTGTTTATAATAACCCTAAAATAAGAAGCCGTCCTATTAAATCCATTTACAACAATTATTATTTATTATTTGTACTATACCAGCTTATATTGAATTTGAGTTTCTTTATATTCTGACTTCAAATCGGGTATGTACTTGGCATCTAAACTTTTCAAAGATTTTTCATAAATTGCAACTCCTTCCAACGTGGTACCGAACTTTAACTCAAATCGTATGCTTTCTATCCACACTTCTAAAATAGTTATACAACTTAGTAGTACAATACAATTATATTAGATTTAGAATTAACCACACACCAATGTTGGTTTTGCCAAATATTTCAGTTGCCTCAGAGTATAATTGCCTTACGGAATCTTTAGCACCAGTCTCATGAATTTGATTCTCTTCACATTTTATCATTCTCATATATAATTTTTGGCACGGAGGATTAAAATTTTTCAGACTATTGAAAACAATTCGACCTTCTTCTACTCCCTTTACAAGTATACACCAATCTAGGTAATCTGATCTCACAGTTTGGGCTAGTTCTTTGTACTTAGCATTTGATCCTTCAATATACAACTGTTCAAGCTAAATTTAGAATAATAATAATAAAAAAAAATTAATTAATAAATGTTATTTTATGATAGAATTTACGTTTTATAACAGTTTACCAAACTATGACTGGTACGATGTAAATAGTTGAACACGTGCCTCCACAATGGCAGAGAATCATTTTTTAACACTTTAACTGCACGTTGAAATGTTTCAAGGAGCTCTTCCCGTCTGTTACCAATAACATACAGAGCCATAAGTTCTGTCCATAATTGCACATCCGTTTTTATAATTTCAACCGCTTCAGGTAAAAACTTCCATCGCTCATCGATACTAGAATTTTGAGTCTAAAAGTAAAAATATAAATATTAATTTTATTTCACAAATCAATAGGCAGACTAGTCTGATTATTTTACCCAATATAAATAATATTTAGAATTGAGTACAGGTACGTCATATGTGTGTGCATTATGAAATGCTCTTTTCAGTGTTGCTTGCATATATTTCCTGATAGCTGGTAGTTTCATTAAGTTTGAATTCCTAATTCCTATTATAGCTTCCAAATATAAAATCCACAAATTTTTTTTGTTCACCCGGAAAAACTTTTGGCGTAACGTATCTTCATAAATATAAACGCAATTCCTGTATAATAATTATTATTAATTTGTATAACATACAAAAGAATTCATTACAAATTGTAACAAGAAGCTACATTTTAGCATCGCACATGCTTTAGCCTTGGCCACCCAGCTCAAAAACGACACTAAATAGCGATACTAAAGTAGCACAATAATTAAGCAACAAGATTATTGTTTATTTGGTAAGAATATACAACTAAGACCATTAAGAGATTATAGATCAGAAATAATCACTATTCAGGAGCAAGCAGGCTAAAGCATGTTGCATGTTTTATAATTTTAACCGTTGGGCTTTATGAAGACTGTAACTTTCTTTTCTTAATATGTAACTACTGACTTCGGTTTAAAATATTATACAACTTTTTTAATTACCACTTTCGCGGATTTTAAATTTAAATACTTTTTTACAACTTTTGTTACAGTTGATTTTTAATTAAATATTATGAAAAAACCTGTTGGACACTATACGAATTTTAGGACACATCTGATTGTAAACAAATAATTGTACACCAGTTTTTTTTAAAGCTCTTTGAGTAAAAGATATATGCTCACAAATAGAGTTTAAAATTTTTGTTAATAAATACTTTATAATTTTAGAATAAACGATAAATGTTGTTTGCTCTCAATCGGACTAGTCCTTAAATTCAACAAAAACCTAAGGGTTTTAGAAACTGTTGGAGAAAAACAAAAGTCAAACCAGTATTTATCAATTATTGGACTACAGTTAATGTACCGCGTTGGTTATCGGCACAACTGGAAACATAAGTTGACTACTAATATGGATAACTATAATGACCGTTATCTGGACTACCGCAAAACCATATTATCCCAAATTAATAATTATTGCATAAATATTTTGTATTAATTATTAAGATCTAATATAAAGTGAAAATTACTATTCAAAAATATAATGAATTCTTTGATAAAATGTTCAACTTTTGATGATTAAATAACATGAACGAGTATCATTGACGCCAGTTGGTAGTCTCTGCCATAGAAAAAGTAGTCCTGAAAATAGTGTATAAATAATAGTATATTAAATAGTTATACATAATATTTGATACTTTAAACCATAAGGCTAAAGAGGATCTCCGGTGAGCAGGGCCCACCCACTTTCAAATAATTTTTTTTATACTATTATAAAAATAATTTAAAGTTCAAAATATATTTACAAATTACCTTTTGAAGACTTTAGTTTATGCTATTGAACTCTTTATAATGCAATATGTGGCGTGTGCTACGTTATTTAAAAAAAATAATAGGTTTATTTATATTTATACATAATTAAGATAATTAATTTCACTTATAAAATTCACCTCTAATTAATATCTTATAAAAAAATATATGGTAACTACTAGTTTTATAATAAAAATAAAGGTATTCAATTAATTATAAATGTATCATGTTTACCATTAATACGTTAAGTATTAATGTAGTTTTTGGTGATTTTGTTTACATTTTGCGGTATAAAATAAATAAACTTAAGACACTATCATAGTTTTGTTATCTAGAGCCCAAAACATAACAAGTATAAAACAACCAGCTTTTAATAAAAAAAAAAAAAAACACACTTATACAAAACAAATATCATTAATTATCATCATCATCATCATGTAGCTTAACAGGCCATGAAGGCCCAACGCTGCCATCATGAGATGGTTTCTTGACGAATTCGCTTCCGGGACGGGTCGTCAATCCGTCGCCGGAGAGGGGGATGGCGGTTCCTTTTTACCGGACGATTGCTCGCCCAGCAAACGGAGCGCCTGTGACCTAGTGTCGAACCGGCGACAGTGAGCGCTAACACACTGCCGCCTTACCCACTCGGCCACTCCTCCTCAATCATTAATTATTATTAAACAAAATATAAACTTACTTTACTGTAACTACAAAGTTTTTTTGTGTAGCTATAAGCCGTTCAGATTCCTCCTGTGTTGAATCATAAGTATATCCTTTTAATTCCAATTTAGCTAATTGATCCCATGCTATTTCATTATGTTTGTAAGCATTTACCATGTCGCTAAATAATAAAAACGATGACTTAACTAAACATAAATTTATTTATTTTTGCTTAATACCCGATTAATACACACCTGACAATAATCGAACATATCCTGGGTAATGATTTAGGCTTAATTCTATAGACACTGTTTAACAATTGTACGTGAAAATAGATATCTCCCGCAAAACGATGTATTGCAGATCGGTATCTCTGAACACATCTCTCCGACATATCACAATGTTCGACTTCCATTAATACCTCTTCTAAACGCAATTCTTTACATTGACCATGTTTACATATGCCACTTTTATAATACTGTCGTGCTCGACTAATATTTTTGCGCTCTTTATACTCAAACCGTGCTACAGTTAAATATATATCTGGTCCAGGTTCTGAGATGGAAAAGATTGTGCTTAGGAATGTACTGCATTGAATTATTAAGTCCTATTTAAACCATATTGTTTACTTAGCAAACCAAAAATTATTTAAATAATTGAATTTAACGTTACATAAAATGTTAGCTTCACTTACATTTTTTTTACAATACTCAATGTATATGGTAAGAAATTCAATATCAACTTCAAACTCTGTAAATAGAGTGGTGTATAGTTCATTTATTTTTGAAAATATTGTTTCCAAATTTTTTTCCTCCAATTTTGTTTCTTTTTTCAATTCTGCTACATCATTTACCTTCAATTCCTGTTATAAAAGAAATGACAAAAATTAATGTAAAACTTATATCTATATTTTTAATATTTCAATAACTGCCTTATTCTTTTGTTTTTTCTTTTTCTTTTGATTATTCTTGTTCTTTTTTATCGAGTTATAAAGTTCTATTTCCGTTGTTATTTCTCCCATTAGGTCTAATTTGGTGGGCATACTACTATTAGCAGTACTTTTAAGGATTTCATCAGCCAAGCTATAAAATCAATGACATTATTAACAACTTTAAAAAAAAAAGTAATATCAAAAACTTACTTCAGGTTTCCTAAAATTAGATCATATGCAGACGAACATTCGTTTTTATTTTCAAATTGTTTTGATGACATAACGGTTATGGAATTTATAGGCTCTCCTATAATAAATATATTAATATAAATTATGTATTAGTACTTGCGCTTAATTAAGCACTTTTCAAAATTGCAAGATGAATTTTTAAATAAAATTCTGTTACAATATAAATAATGTTCACAAATGATTGTTGGTTTTTTTTCGATAATTTTGGCCATGATTGTAATAGGTAATTTCCTTTTGTTTTTCTTTTTTCCTATAGTATTTATGGCAATCGAAAAAAAAGTATTAAAAATTACTTTTTTATGTAAAAAAATCTCAGCTTTTTTAAAAAATATATTTTTTTCTAGTACCAAAAAGATATTAAAAATGGGTTTTTCGTGTTGCTCAAAATTCGATAAATGTTTTATAATTTGTTTCAGAGAGCTGAGAACATCTTGAATAAAATGTCTATCTTTCAAAGTAAATTCTCAAGAAAACCCCTTGGAATTTAAAAAAGGTGAAAATTCATAGAAAAGCCAAACTATTTTATGAATTTTCTCACCTATGAACTAATCTCAGAAATAATGTTTTATGAGTTTACAACACAAAACAAAGTTAGGTTGTTTTTATTTTTGTTGTATCAGAAAAAAACAAAAATTGTATCAATGAGTTTGATAGATTTCCAGGCATATTGCACATGATTATGTGCAATAAGAAAATGCTGGTACTGCTATAATTCTTAATTTAGGTTAGATTGGTATATAACTTAATATTCCATAAAAGAAATTGAAAAAGTGACCATTAACACCTCATTATTCAGTCCGAACCTTCAACCGTGCCTTGGATTAAGATAAGTCAAAACATTTAAAATCAAATCGAATAATAACCTAAATTAGTATTAATAGATCTCGGGAAAAGGACCTGTTGTCAAAGTGCAACAACTTAACCTTTTTTTTTTTTAACTAAAAAGATGTACCAGCTGTCACGAATTGTTAAAAAATCTATCAAGATTCATAAAAAAGCACCCATTCAATTTTCGAAAATGCCGAGATGAGGGTCCTTTTCGCTTTCCGCAACACTAACTATATTGAAAGATATTTAAAGAATAACTAGACCTGTGGTTATATTCGGATTTAGCAAAAAAAAAAACCAATATATATATATTATTTTGGGATTTGCTACAAAATTGTGCTACACCAGTGTTTTTAGTTTATTAGTTTAAGTATACACTATACAACAACATAATATTAAGCGGTCAGTAACTGTGAATCTATTACTGTAAATACTAAATAAAATCTAGTTTTTCTAATTATTTTTAATACATTTTATTGCTGGCATTAAAACTAGTATCTGATTCGAAAAGCTAAATCCATAATCTAGAATTGCGGAAAATACAACTAAACGACAATGGAATTGTGGTGAAAATTCGAGTTCAGACAACTTACTTATAGCTGTTAATAATCACAATCGGTTGCTGCGTACTGTACTGCACGATTAGACGAGGGTCGTTGGCCGACGCTTTACCCTAGGCAGAGCAGAACGGTAACAATATCATAATATTCAGTTGTCGTCGGTCAGACTATAATGATATTATTATAACCATAAAAGGCCCGTATTAACGACAATAACAACAACAATTAGGTACGTATAAACGCGGTTGAACACGACTGAAGACGATTTTTTTTCTCGAAAATGTACGCATATAACTCACGATCTGGTGTTGGGTATGCTTGGAGTGCGCTGTGCTACACTGATGTCCTTCCCGGGACGACCGCAGCGACATCCTCTGATCAATAAACAGGACACAGTTGGAATATACCTATACATTATATAAATATATAAACAGTCGAGGGCTGCACGCCACGCGCATGTATTTAGCGCTGACGCATAATATGTATATACAGGGTGCTCATTTTATCGCGAACCGATCAATACTGTATAGGGTGTAAAAATAAAAACATTTTTTTTTCTTCATAGTGTTTTATATATTTACAGAGTTATATTTATTTCGTTTTCATCCCACTTCCAGACTAATTGTTTTCATACCAACTTTTGAAACTTAAATTATAACGTGTGTATATTATTAACATTTGTCTATTTAAGATTATTTTACTAAACATTTTTACTGGTTGATAACCAGTTTTGAACGACTGTGTTATAAGAGTTTAAAAGTTAGGACGGGAGGGGAAGCGCGCACAAATAAAAATAATACTACACTCCTCTTTTCCTCCTGCCCTAAACTTGAAATTTCAATAATTTCAAAAATAGTCATCCAAAAAGCCAGTAAAGTGGGGTCGGTGCATAGTGGGAACGGGGAGGTCACAGGTTTACAGGAATTATTACAACTGACAGTGATAAAATCACTTTCAAATAAACGCTTCGATGCAAATCAGTAAAGTCCAAAACAAGCAAAGTATGAAAGTATTAAGTCAGTTGCAGTGTTTAAAAATTAGCGTCAAAGCGTTTATTTTAAAGTTATTTTATCCGAGTAAGCCAGTACAGCGCGGTCGAGGCATAATGGGATCAAAGCATAGTGGGGACGGTGAGGTCACAGGTCTACAGGAATTATTATTAATGAAAGTGATTTTTTATATTGATTAAGCAGCTCTGTATTTACCAAGGTCAATTTTATCATCTCAAAACTTTCAACCCACATCATCTTAAAAGAAATAAATGGCTTACAAAAATTGTTTTTACCGCAAAAAGACACGGTTCGGGTTAGATCCGATCTTTCAACTATATGATGGTTTCGTTTAACACACCACGTTCGACAATAATTGATTTTTATATATTTTTAGTTTACATTGATATTTCTGTATAATCAAAAATTATGTTTAAATCTAAGTTTTGACGATAACCCAATTGTTTGCCTAATAATCGGAAAGCAAAATATTTTGATTGACAATAGTGCTGCATCTATAGATTACAACTTATGGCCGTTTGCACCAGCTATACTTACACTTTAAGTATAGTTTAACCTATAGTTACAGTATTGTTAAATTACCCTTAAATTGTATGCATGGTTGGCGCAAACGGTCATTAGCAAGCGGAACAAATGAAAAAAAAAACCCTCTGTATAGACAGTTTTCACTAAGAGGACATCTCATATCCCGTTATTCCCCAAGTTTTAAGGAGTTAGATAAAAGCAATTTTTCACAAACTCTGAACTAGCGATTTTAATCTTTTTAATACAGTAATAAGGAGTCTTTGTCGATAGTTATTTTTGATCTCATAGCGTCTGTTTACTACTTTTCATCATAAACTATTTTATATTGGCTGCATTGAATCTTAAAATATGATGGTAAAAGATTAAAGAATTTTGAAGCCTTTTTTTGATAGTAATTCATACTTTTTACCATTGAATTAAATAACAACAAGATAGATTTAAAAAAAAAATCATAAAAATCAACCTATTAGAGATTCACAAAAATTAAAGACGAAAAGATTAAACGAAGACGAAGACGAAGAAATTAAAGATACATATTAATACCGGGGTTAAGGCTCATATATTCATTAGTTAATTTGTTAACAGTTCTGTTTTAAAGGTTTTAGTATTTAAACAAAAATTAAAAACCACACCGGTAACAAAATATATTCTAAGTCAATATTATACGAGTATTAAATTTCAACCAAAATGGTATCCCTTCCCATTATACAATAATGACACCAACAATTTTATTAACATTTAATGTCCAGTCTTATTTTTGAGAGGCGATGCATACAAAGTAAAAATTATGAAGACAAACTTTAAACCAAATTACCAGTATTGGTTTCCTTATGAATAATAATTAATAGTACGCATATAATTGTTCAAAATTAATTTATAACATAAGTAGAATATTTGGTCCTTAGACAAACCATGATTATATTATATATATTTACAACCATCGAATCGATTCAATAATTACCTGGGTTATATGAGGAAGGCATTTTGTTGTGGTAGTTTGCTTTTTGCAAAAGGGGGAATGGCTACTTTTTTTTTTAACCACAAATAGTGCATAAAAGTACTACCATATAACCCACTCAGCTATATCGCCCCTGTAAAATAAAAAAATTATTAATAAATTGAATAAAAATAATTAAAACAAGTCAAGATAAATAATAATGACGACAATGATTAACTATGATTTGAAAGCACAACCAAGTCATGTTGGCCATTGTATAGTGATTTACTAAGTCACTAATAATTTATTTTTTAAATATATGAATACGTAATATATACATACTTCAGTAATATATCCATTAATTGTGTCGTTTTGGGTGTGCTAAGAATCTACTGGATTGGAAATTGACTTTAGTCTCTGAACTTAATTCCATAAAAAGCATTTTGTCTCACGTAATCACTATCACCACTTTGTGCACTAATTTCGCTGCCACCACCTTATCTGTCGTTATAAAGAACATCATATATTTATTTTTTATCAATAGAATAATTGTTAATAATTAGATGATAAATATAAAATAGAATATTAAAAGCCGCCATATTAATTAAAATTAGATCATTTTGTAATGTTGTTTGTCAATATAAAGTTACATATTAATTAGGATCACTAGAGACTCAAGTTAAAAAAAAAATAGAAAATCTTTATTCACTCTTTTCATTGCTGCTACTATAAAAATGAAACTAACTCAAATAATTATGAAAACAAGTTTTGAAATTATAATAAAGTTATCTAAGTATTTTTCATTGCAAAGTACATTTTAATTGTATAATTTTTAAATTATTAAAATTTTACTTTTTGAAACCAACTTAAGTAATTTAAGTATTAGGAAGACAAATTACAACATTGGCAGAGGGAGTACGGAGTGTGGGCATTACAGGTTTCCAGCCTGTAGTGAGAAAAACTAATTGGAAACACTCCCATATCCAAGCTTTTGCACAACAGTACACATAATAAAATATGTGTATCAGTAACTAATCTGTATCAAACCAAAGGATTAGAAGTTCACGAGGAAATCCTCGCAGGGCCTACATTGACAAGAATTCTCAAAAAATAAAAGGCTTCCGATATTTTAATATAAACAAAAGTAGAGGACGGGGCTAATATTAGACGCAGCCATTTGTAGGGAAAACAATCATCCGCTACAAGATTCTACTGTAAATATTGAAAAATAAATTTATGTTCTTTGTGCAATCAATGTCTCTTTTATATTTGGAAGGAAAATAAGGAATTGGGAGGTTGTCGGATTGAGGTTTTGAGCTAGAGCGAAAGCATAACCACTGCTCATATATTTTGTCCAGTCACATGGGCTTCCAAAACTGACTAAGTAAATATTTACCTTACATTGCTTAAAAACATCCTCCATATTGTAATTATCATTTATATTTATAGACATCTATTTTATTTTTTAATTATTACTAAATTAGTGTGATTTAATAATTTTATTTTATTAATTGTTTTATGTGTTTTTTTTCTTTCTTCCCTTTTTTTTTTACTGATACTCAATGAATTATTAGTAGTATTGCGCACTGCTATAGAACACGTTATTATCCATTATAATATTATTTTGTTAATTATAATATTCTAATCAGATATTGTATCATTTAGCATTTATTTTAAATTCTGCTTAAACTATGACACGGACGACGTACATTGAATACGTTTTACTGTGACACCCGTGCCCCGACCTTTGAATGAGTAAATACTAAATATTGTAAAACTTACCAATTAAATGAGAGCACCACGTTACTTTAATCATCATGTAGTGATATATACTTGTAAAATTTTACATTTACAACTTGCACGCCAATTGCCAAACGATTAAATGTTTTGAAAATATTATGTCAAGTATAAATTATTATCAAATGGTAAAAATCATGAAAATTGGACGTAATAACTAGGTATGTCCACAACTTGTATTATCAATTATCACAATGTAGCAGTCGGGAGCGCATGCTCTATTAATAAGGCTGCGTGATAGCTGTTGCCAAAACTGGAAGCCATTTTGTAGTTATCACTAGCTACCAGCATACCTTATTGAATTGTTTATTTTGTATAAAATAAAATTTACCTCCAAAAAAATTATCACAGGTACGACGCTCTCGCTCGTTAATATTCAAACCACCTTGGATTATTATAAATGATCCTTGATTCAAACGGTAATCGTTTAACTGTTAAACCGCTGTAACGGTAATTATTTAAATTGATTAATAATACTTAAAAATATACTATTTTTTTTTGTAGTGTTGTCGCCAATTTGTTTTTTCTACGATCAATGGACAATTGACGTTATCACCTCAATGGTATAAACACAGAATAACAGTTATTCTGTGGTATAAATGCATATCTTTATCACTGATATTTTTACTATCTTTATCAGTGTATGTTACTGTTATAGTTTTCTTTCAAAAACGAATTTTGACATACCTTTTTTGTTGAACTTTTGCAATTCAATCTTTTTAACTGTGGTATATTATGGGCATATTTTCTTTTGTCGGTAGCAGTGCAGAGCAACTAGAGTTAAAACAGTTGGACTTGCAAATGGGGTGTTCTTGTTTGGTGATGATATGGCATGTTAACATGGACCAGCCAATTGGATATGAAAACAATTCATGATGAGTATGTATATAAATAAAAGCTATATTGATTGAAATAGACTCTATGGAGTTGGCTTGTGCAAATTTTATCACAACTGAGTACAGCAAACTCTTGTGTATTTATTATTCAAATTTATTATAATAATAAAACAATATTAGAAACTGGTTGTTCTTGTAGACAACAGATTAATTGCATAAAACAAACCTCAAGCACAAAAAACAAGTGTAGACAATCATCTAGAACTAAAATTTGGTTCTAAACGCCTGTGGAACAGAATAATATAGTACAAGTATTTATTTTTAATGCTAAACTTTTTAGATTATTATTGTTATCGATTACTCAATTGCCCATCAACTGAATTACAAAAGATTAATTGCATAATTAAAAAAATCACTCAGTTTTCACTGGTTTTGAACAAGAATTTTAAATAACACCAAACTATTAAATTAATAAGGCTCTCGCTCGTTAATATTCAAACGGTTATCGTTTAACTGTTAAACCGCTGTAACGGTAATTATTTAAATTAATTAATAATACTTAAAAATATACTATTTTTTTTTTGTAGTGTTGTCGCCAATTTGTTTTTTCTACGATCAATGGACAATTGACGTTACCGATAGTAACCTGTTTAAATAAAAAATCTCTAAAAATTTGGATCCTTAGTAGAACCAACTAGCTCAACTAACATGAAATGTGACACTTTGTAATCCTTATTTTATAATTTCACGACACAATTTTTTTTTTATCAAATTACAGTCCATGAAATATTTGATTTGATTCTTTTTAAGATCAATTTCAATGTTCTGTAACTTGATAAAACAATTTGTATCATAAATTATCAAAACAAGCTATTAAAGTAATTTTTCAGCTTCAAGAATTTTTTTTTAATTTTACAAATTTTCATTAGTTTAAAAGTCAAAATTTTTAAATTAAAAACTAAAATTTCCCATGTTAACCTAATGAAAAAAAAATTAATTTATGAGGAGGTTCTGAAATTATGGTGATTTCTTAATTGATTATGCTACTATTTATTGTAAGAGTAAACCATAGGAAAAAAAACTGTGACATGGATTTTATTTTTAATTAAATATTAATGTAGTATTTATGATCAAGCGAGGAATCTAATCACTTGGAGTTCAACATCTAGACATTTGTATGAATATATTGGGATTTTTACCCGTATCATGGTAACCAACACTAATCTTACATTTGAAAGATGGAATATGTAAGCTGCTAGTGAGGTAGGAAAATAAATTTGAAAATTATTAGTACATCAGATGATATCCAACAGCATGAGAGGTAATCACTGTAATTACTACAGTAGTAAGAGTAGTAATAGATACCCAATCAAAGCACTTTTTATTTTATTTAGAAAACACCTGGATTTTATAAGTGGACAAAAAACTCAAACACATTGAAGTGAGGTGACATTTCATTGAAGTGTTGAGAAATATGAAGGAGAGTTTCAACTGCAGCAAACCACTGTCAACAGGCAGATTTCAAAAACTTCGTTTAATAGTGAGTATGAAGTACTTCAACAACTTGTTAAATATTCATTTCAATTTTTTTTTTTTTTTGTACCTGGCATCCAGTCAACACCTCATCCCTGTGGTTAGGGGAGGAAGAATTCTACCAAGGTCTCTACACCAGTCGTAAAAGGCGACTAATGTGACGTAGAGCCCTCCGACAAGTGGCCTTTATCTTGTGACACCTTCTCCGACCTGCAATTAGCACCTAGTGCTACTTGTCGGTCTGCAGTCGTAGGGGATCCTTCAGGGTGAACCACTAAAGCCAAAGAACATCAGTCAGTCAACACCACTTATCAACCATCACCCATGATTACTTACTTTAACCCTTAGTGTATGGTATGTGGCGCTGTGTACTACATTTGTTAATGTCAAATGTTAAGTTGAAACTTATTAATAGAAATCCGGAGGAGCTTAGCTCTACCAAAAATGTCCCAAACCGCCTCAAGAATTAATATAAAATTGATTAATTTATTGTAAGTAAACTTATTCATAAAAAAGTAAAAACATAATCAAAGTTTTATAAACCATATTTTTTGTCAAATATTACTTATATTTTGCAGTTTAATAAACAGCCGTCTCCAGACCGTTTTGGTAAAAAGCTTTGTTAAAATATTTTAGAAATGTTTTCAACTATATTTTATGAATATAATTTGTGAAATTCAGATTTTCAAACATAAAATTATTTATAAAATACTCTTTAAATGTTAAATAACGTTTTTAAGATGACCACTCTAGTGCGCTTTGAGTTGAAAAGCAAAATTTTTCGTGACACAATTTTTTTTTGACATAATACTTAATTTATCATTGATGAATTATGATAAATTTACAATTATACTAAGTACACATACAGGAAATCCATGTTAAGACGCTTAATACGCGTTCCCTTATAATATGCAAATTTATTACATTATATTTAAAATTATAATTTTTTATATTATATGCTATAGATCTTATCGGCTGTTATGGGATCCTAAACATAAGGACTATGATAATAAAATTAAAAGGAATGAAGCAAGACATTTTTTCATTTACAACAATTGTATGGAAACAAAATGTATATTATATTTTTAAAGACTGGAAATGGTAAAATAGGTAATAGCAGTTACAATTAAGGATTTTTTTTTTTATATCGAAAATTAATTTAATAAAATAAACAAGATAGATATATTAATGAATTTAAAAAACTTCTTCTTTTTCGTTATGTAAAAAAGAAATTTGCTTAACAACATGGATTAATATACTTTGTTTAAAATGTTACAGGTTAATATGAATTTCAGCGTTGAGAAAACCTTTTTTAACAGAAGTGTCAAATTGTCCATACCTATGCGGCATTTTTACTTTAAGCACATGGTATTATCTAACGGATTTGTAAGAAGAGAGAACTGCAATAGATTTACATTTTATCTAACCTTATCTGTTTGAAAATGGACTGCTAAAACGCTGTACAACATTATATTGTTTATATGGTTATATGATTTAATCTTCCCTTTTTTTTTTGTTATAACATTTTTTTATACTTTCGAGTTGATGGCATAAACAGATTGACGTTACCAGTGTTTCTTAATTTTTAAGGGGAATTGGTGAACTTTTTAAATGTTCTCAGCTAAGCATCGAACCAAAAATATTTATATTTAAAATTCATAATGAGTATTATTTAAATTAATATAAAATTTTTAATTTATTTTTGCTTGTATATTTTTTAGTAGTTCTAGAAAACTTAAAATGTATAATTAAATAATTGAATTTGACAATGAATTGCTTCTAAAATTGATAATTTCACTATTATGTTCATAACCCAATTCAATTTTTTGGTTAAAACAGCAAAATATCGGAATTTAAAAATTAATCGGTCATTTAAAAAACGACATAACTCTCTGATTTTTCTGTTGGAATAATAATTAATATTCTATATATCAAGAAGTATTTCACAATATATAAATATGTTGTTTATCTGTATAATAAAAATACGTAGTTGTTAACCAGGAAATGTTATAGAAAAACAAGTTGTTTTTGTAAGCACACGTGTATGTGTAGACGCGTGCAACCTTGTGGGTTAATATAAATAGCATTTGATCTAAGGGCTCGGGGCTCAGTATTTCTATTCAGTTTATACATATTACTAGTGTATTATTGTTTCACTGTGTTGTATATATTCTATGTATAATATATCTATTATTGTAATAACTTTATTTGTGTTAATACTTGATTATCATCTACTACTACTACTACTCGCACTCTGATACTATATTTATGTAACAACATTTTCAAGTATGACTTTGTCTAATTTGATAATTATATACGTATAGTTACGTATTCTGTGTAAAAATTACATTTTTCAGATTCATGGTCAAAGTTAGAATATTGAAAACTTGGATTTTGAACATCAGAAATCCTATAAATAAATTAGCAAATAGTTGTAAACGCAAAGTAAGATGATTTTCTGGAGTTATGAAGTTTTTTGTGGCTAGTGTTAAGTTTTAATTTTGTGACTTGTGTCGTTTTTTAAATGACCGATTCAAATGTTGAACAAAACCTAAATCTTGTTTTTATATTAATTAACCTCAAGATCTTCAAATCGTTTATTAACTGTTTTGGCTGCAAGCCCTGTAATAATTATGGCTCATACAAATAAGTTAGTGTATCGTCAATCGATACTTCAAAATTGCCAATATTTTGACAGTGACAAAACTATATTATTAAAGCATCATCAGTTATTATTAAAAAAACATCATCCATATAAATTACACACCATATAAACTTTTAAATTTGCATTAACCACCAGTTAATGTTTTTTTTTGTCTTCCTACATGAAACCTAAACACCCAATGGAGAAATATTTAATCTCGAAAATTTTAATTAACAAAACAGATTGAACTTATGTAAACATAAGAAAATAATTTATTCTTAAATCAGATATTAATCTTTAGGTGCATTAACACAGCATATTACTCTAGAGAGTTTTAATCTTGAAAACGGTTTGAAGTTTTTAAACATTTTTTAAAGTGTTTACATGACAATAATTTCAAACCGTTTTAACGCCATCAAATAAACGTACTTAATGTGTTACTTTACTGTGCGATAACTCCAGAAATAATTGTGTGTTTTCAAAGAGGATATTATAGACAAATAATTCAGCTCGTTTTAATACCAAGAGCTAAAATATAAAAATTTATACATTTTGATAAGAATGTTGTTTAATTTGTTTTGACGTTGTAAAGCTGAGGAAAACACCAAGGTTTATGGATATATTACCTATAAACCTTGGGAAAACCCAACACCCAGCCACCATGTTGGGAAAATTAATAACACGATTTGTTGACATACTTGTTTATTTTGTTATGGTCGATCTTTCGCCGTTTCTTTGTTTTCATTTATAACATGGTATATCGTATTGTCGGTGTATAAACTATAAACTGTTGATTGGCCGATGACTGAAAAAACGGTTGTTCAATTTGGGCGTTTTATTATTTATAATATTATCTACTATAATAATTAGTATTTGAAATATTAGTACTGCTCTATCAACAAAAAATACCTACCAATTGTGATATTCTGATGTTTTCTTAGACAATTTGTTGAGTTCCGTCTTGTGAATTTAAAGTTTTTGTAAACATTTTGGCGACGGTAACAACTAACAGAGAAGTGAGTGCATTATAAAAACATTAAACAATTTGTATTTTATAGTACTTAAGCGTGTACATTATTTGAGTGTACACTATTAGAACAACAGATGTTAGTGTAAAGTATTATAATATTGTAGGGCGTAGGCAATAAAGTGTTTATAATCGTGGTTTTTTAGTTTGGCTTTGATAAAAGAGTATAACTACAGTTTTTTGACATTTGTTTATAGATATTTATCAGTACATCCAATATCTACGAACAACTACATGTTTAGACCTTTCTTCTTCTTCATTGGCAACAGTCGTCATTTATTACCGCCATATTTTTATTTTTCTATATTCATTCATATTTGTCTTGAGCGTCCTAGTCTCTTACTCTTCAGATTTTGTACCCTCCATACATGTCTAATCCAAATTATTGTTCTGCTTTTCATTATTGATTTTGGTTTCAGTGTTCAGGTCTCCCTGTGGCCCATAGATTTGACATAGTACTTGTAAATATTATAATGGAATAAACCCCATTACATGAAAAAAAAAGACTATAATACAGCGTTAGTTTGTTTTTCTGTAATATGATCCCAGATTTTAATACTAATCTTAAAGCAAAATAACATCTTTTAGCTGTTTTTATTCTCTTTTGAATTTCCTTATGGTAGTCCCGAAAGAATTTATCTCTACTCCTAGGTATTTAAAATCTATCCTCTCGAAATTCATGTCATTCGCGATAAGATATGTGACCCTATTATGACTTTTTTTTTAATTTACAATATTTATAGTAGATTAATTTTTTTGCTTTGTGAAAAATTAAGTTTTGTTTTTTTTTGCCAAAGAATATAGACAAACCAATTTGTTCATTTTATATCCTAAGTAAAAACAGAAGAAATATTTTTTTAAATTGTGACCAAAGAGTGGGAACTGGTTATTTAAATTATATAGGAACAAAAAAGAAAACAAATTTGGGTTTGAAGAAATATTAAATGACAGTGTCTGGAACGTTTATAACGAAATAACTTGACTTTTTAGGTACATTATTTATCACAGTATTTAATTTACTTCTTTGTTACTTAAGTATTATTGTAAGAAATTACTTTACAATTTTAGAGAAAAATCAATAGAATACTTTTTTTAGAAACTCAAATTTTATTGAATTTTGTTTTATTTGTATTTTTTTTTTTTAATAGGCTAATGGCTTAGGTACATAATTATTCAATTGAATATTGTTTAAAATTGTATTTTCAGGTTAAAAAGTGATGATATTAAAACTATATACGTTTGAAAAGGAAGAAGAAATAACTATGAAGTTATCCAAAATAAAACCAGCACCTTATTTAAAAAATTCATATGAAATTAAAGTTAAAGACATTAAAACAAAATCGCTAATTAAAAGCCCAAGTGGCAATGACGTCGTTATACTTGATACTTTAATAAAACCACATAAATTAAGTGGTTTAAATGTATTTTTGAAACAACAGTTTATCAGTATTTTTATAAATATAATGAATAACAACAGTGAATATTTAAGTACAATGATAAATGATCTTAATGAAAATGACAGAATAATATTTATCAATGCGGTTGTCACTTATGCGCCAGCTCTATTTGATAAAATAAAATTTTTAAGAATAGAACCTAAAAAATATTCTTCAGTTTTTATTTTTAAATATATTGACGACGAGTCAACAAAAATTAAACAAAAACCTTTACAAATTAATTTTAACAACAATATAATGGAATTGTCCTTAATGAGACATCCAGAAGTTACGTCTGATAAAAAACAGAATAATGATGCCGAGTTTAGTATATTAGAAAAAAATGTTTTGTATTCATCGCCTTTTCAAGATAATCTGAAGGAATCCAATGTTTCTATTACTGAACAAGTTTCAAGTGAAGAATTTCCACAGACAAATCCAAATTTATCCAACAAATGTGAATTACCATTATTCAATTTCTCATCATCATCTGATGATAGCCTTTTGGGGACTAAAGTGTCGCCAAATTTGAAACTTCTAAAAGAAACCTCATCAATAGAGTCAACTAATAGAATGTCTGACAGCGAACCTTTACCGAGTATGACGCATATTAGCTATGACCCAGAATCTCTTAAAAATCTTAATGCCTTTACATCCATACCAGACTGTAGACTTATTTATGTCGAACCTTGTATACATAATGATAATAGTGAAATAATATTGGGTTATTGCATGAAATGTATGTCTTTTATATCAAATTCATCTATCATAACTGTAGAGGAACATGCAAATGAATATTATAAATGTCCCAATTGTAATGAAAATATAAGTGTTTCATATTTTTTAAAAATGTTATTTACATACGGACCAAATCAAAATCAGACTACGCAAGTTTATTGTTACGGTGATTATGCTGAACAACTTATAAGAAAATTGGTATGGAAAAACATTACGGTTGAAGATTACATAGCAGATCTCGATAACAAAATATTAATTATTAATGCTTTTCGAGCACTTTTACACAACCAAACCGCATTGACTATACATATCCAAGAAACGAATCCTGGAAGTACTTTAATTTTACTATCAATAGATGTATAGTTTTTTAATAACAATATACTTAAAAAATAGCTTTTTGAGATACATATAAGATAGTATTAAATTTGATTGATTAATATTAGTAAAGTTACAGACATTTATTTTAAATATGTATATAGTGAATAATAATTAAATTGTTTTTGATGTGTAAAATAACATTCTTTTAAATAACTTTTTAATAAATAATTTAAAAAATAATAACAATTAATATTTTTAAAAAATATAATGTAAAAGAATACAGTTGTACTAAATATATGTTTGAAAAGGTCACAATTACGCATATTGCGAAGCCAAAAATATGTAACCCTCTCGTTTGCAGGTAATAAAATAAGATTTTTATTTTTATATAATACTATTAGGATTTTGTATTATATTGAAAATTCACAAAAAAAGAACTATTGTTTCATATTTATTTAATTAATTTAACTGTATTTGTTTTTTTAGTTAACATTTGATTAACAACTTATCATCAGATAGACCAAACATTTAATAGTATATAATCCAAAAAAAACCAAACAGTGGAAAAGGGCCAAGTTCCTGACCCTCTCCCAAAAAAGTCAGCCTATCATATTAGTGATATTTACATTGTGGCCAAGTCTGCTGTTTATTTAGTTCATAACCTTTCTTCACTCCTATTTTCTTGAGCAACAATGCTCTTTTATTTGTAGGTATTGATAACACTTGGCCAGTTTCTGATTTTTCCCTTTAGTTACACTATAAGACCTACAGGTGTCCCAAATTTCACGTTTCCACCTATACGGGAAGTGTTTTATAATTTTTATGATGAGTGAGTCTCATCATAAAATTCTCCCCTTTTCGAAAGGCTTACTATTATGGGTTCATTTTTTACAGTGTCCTAAGCTACTCGAGCTTTATCTATGTTACGAATTTCAAAAGCTTATCATAAGAGGAAACGGAGATATGTGGGTTAGAAAAACTGGATGAATTCAGAGTTATAAATGAATATGCGAAAATATACAATAATTATACCTACCGCCGCTAATATTGTGTGTTTTATTAGGAAATTCAAACTTTGGCGGTACCTTATAACTTGTTCCATGAGCTTTCCCGAAGCGAAGAATATTTTATTATTACTATAACTAGGTATTTCTTGAGGCGAAAAGGTAGACAAATCCATCTCGCGACTGCCGCGCTTTCACGGTTATTGATTTATGTAAGCTAATACGCGCATGACGGTCCATAGTGTCCTGGATCAGGATGTTGCCCTACTATTGCGTTGTATTATAATACAGTAGGTGCTAAACACGAGTAGTACATTTTAACGCGATCGCCGTTGAGTTTAATAATTAAACAGATATAATTAATAAGTATTTGATGTCGTGTCGTCGATAGTTTTTCTTGCGGTCAAAGCTTAACGCTGAAAAGTGTGTTGGTCGATCCCAATACAGGTACGGTAGTTGTTATAAATTTATTAAAACCCCCATTATGGCTCCATCGGCGTCCATAAAAGTTCGTACAGCGATTCGATCCGAACCGTTGGAAATACCAGTCAACGTCAACACAACCGTCGAAGATGTAATTATGGAGACATCCAGAATTTTGTACATCGGACCGGTAGCTAGACACTTGTTTGCACTGCGACCTTATAGCGCTGGAAACAATAAGAACACATGGTTAAACCCGTCGTCCATTGTAGTGCATGCCAAAAAAAAGCAACACGTGTATGAGTACAAATTGCTGTACAAAACGTTCGATACAAAACGACTGAAATCAATCGATCGTTTTGCTTACAATTATTATTACCATCAAGTGAAAACGGATCTGCTCAACAACAACGTGACTGGATTGTGTTATGTAACCTACAGACCGTACATAATTGGACTGGGGGTTACTGAAATGTACAGAGAAATATTGGTAGAGTGCAAGAACAAAGAAGATGTCGAGCGAAATTATTTACAATACATGCCAAAGGAACTTTTCAAATGGCATTATATTTTTATTTTGTATTTTCTGAAAAAACCTATTATAGAAAAATTAAGATCGGTTATGGATTGTAATGCAAAGCATCTGTATTTTCCTTCGGACTCTCTATTCAAATCCAGTTATGTAGATCAGTTTACTTGGATTGCTCCAGATTATTTAGAAGGAGAATACATTGCTTTGTACGATGTAAATGGGAATTCAATTGAAGTAACCCTAAAAATAAATCCGTTTCATTCGAAAATGCCAGGAATACGAATGTGTACTACAGATAAAGAAGAAGTGAGTATACTGGGTGGCCCAAGAAGATTTGACAAATGAAATAACTTTTGTTCTAGTGAATATTTTTAAGATTTTTTTTTTTAAAATAATTTATACTCATTTGCGCTAGAAGCACTATGTATTTTATTGCACCTAACTATTTTACTTTTTTAAATTTTTTTAAAATTTTTTTTATTACCTTTTTATTTAAAAATTCAAGATAGCCATTTTGTTAAGAATAAATTGCTGAAAATTTTAACTGCTCGATAACCAGATTTGGACAATTACTTATTAGGTTACTAAAGGTTAAAGGGTAGGATGGGAGGTGGAGTGCGGTAGAGAAATGCGCGCAGATAAAAATAGCTTTACGCGCTTACTCTACCGCACTCCACATCCCATCCTAATCTTTAAACTTTAGTAACTTAAAAAGTAATTATCCAAATCTGGTTGTCGACCAGTCAACATTTTCCGCAATTTATTCTTAAAAAAATCTTGATTTTTTTTTTTTAAGTGAAATAGTTAAGTGCATCAAAAACCGTGGTGCTTATAGCGCAAATGAGTATAAATTATTTTTAAAAAAAAAAATATTCACTAGAACAAAAGTTACCTTTGATTTTTCAAATCTTCCTGGGCCACCCAGTAAGTGTATATAATATGTTTTAAAAAAAATGTCTTGTCCTGTTTATACAATTATAATTGCATATTTTGATTGTTTTAATTTTCAGTGGGTGCACTTGGTAGCTATTGAGGATTTGTGTTTCCTATCTTCGACAAACGAACTTGTTGTAGAAATATTTCATAAAACTGGGCCACGAATACTTATTAGATTTTATAACGCTAAGACTATGATTTCATTCCTGACATTACTTAACGGTTATTATCGATTGATGGTAAATTGGAGTTTCGACGTATGTGCATCTATAAATACACCGTCTTTAAGCAAACTAAAAGCTATGCGTTGTCACGGTCCAATTAGGTAAGTATACATCTTTACCCTATAATTACAATCTGGTGTGACATGGACATTTTTGTAAATGACTTTGCTACAATGCCATTTTCAGTAAGGAGACGTCTTATGATATTTTAAAAAGTGAAACGGAAAACATTGGAAATTACATGCTAAGAGAATCTGCAAAATATTATGACAATTATTATGTCGATGTTTCTGTAAACTGTTGGTAAATTCATAGTTTTAAATTTATTGACGTTTAAGTTTGTTTAAATAGTTTTGTGAGTAAATAATCATTTTCGTTACATATTTATAGCCAGAGGCAGTTCTCACTTAAAATAACAAAAGTGGAAGCACTCTTTACAGTAGCTGGTCAAAACAGTATTGGTTACACTTCAATTCGGGAACTTTTGGCAAACCACGAAATCTCAAAAATGTCGTTAGATTGCATTTTACCATCAGACGCTGGTATATGTGGATTGGATTTTTAAAATTAGTTATAGGATCTTAAAGTATTTTAACATTTAAGTTTAATGAATTAGTTATTAATAACTATGTATGTATTTATTCAAGCTATGCGTACGCTGCTGCTTTGCAAAAATACTAGCATAAAGCCAACATATAATGCAAATAAAGAAGAGAAAATCGTTGGTCCTCGATTGATTAGCAGTGATTCAATTGAACTGATTAAAAGTTAGATTTTATTTACATACAAAGAACGTTATGACTTTTTAATCAAGTACCTCTACTAATTTTTTCAGCAAAAAACACAAAAGATCATCCACTTATAAAAGTACAATTAGCTACTTGGTCAAAATTTAAAAAAAACGACTCTACTGTTGTTTTAAAACTATTTAAAGACGGTGTAAATGTTGAAATGCATTTGAAGGTATTTGTCTTTGAATTAATTGCTGTGCTTGATTTATCAATATTCTAATATTCTATGCACCATTGTTCCATTTAAAGGAGTTGTTGAGTCTATCAAAACAATGGGGTTTTATATCCTCACGCGCTGTAGTGCGGTTTTTGGGGCTTTGTATGGATTCACCAACGGCTCTGGTCAGCGAATACTTTCCTTTAGGACCCCTAGATGCCTACTTAAGAAAAAATGAAGACACCATTTATTACAAACATTTAGTCGAATCCGCAACATATATGGCTACAGCACTTTTAGACATGGTACAGCGAATCGTTAATTTTTTTTTAATACCAATTACATAAATATACAATATTCAATTGTCGTATCCGTTTATAGGAAACTGCTGGCTTTGTTCACGGTAAAATTCGCTGTCATAAATTTGTCGTGGCTGAACATACAGCAAAAAATTTTGTTGTTAAACTTACAGATCCAGGTATTCATACGTGTTACACTTGTTACGAGTAAGTATTATTTAAAATGTATTTGATAGGTACAATATTTTTTGTGTAGAGCCGTTTAATTTATTGAACTTAATCTTCACTAGGTGTTGTCAAAAATTTAAGCATATAGTTTAACTGCAGTATTCATTAAGTGTGCTCTACCAAGCCTTAACAAATAGTTAACTTACCAAGTTGATATCGACCATGTTAAAGTGTTGAAATTAGTTTCATAACAGTCAATTTTTGTATGAACCGAACTTTTTTTTTAATTTTGCTCTTCTGAGTGGACAGGGATTTAATTTGACAGTTATCATCTGCCAATTTAATTTATTAATTGATATTATACATGAATATAATATGAATTGTATGTTGTTTTGATGATATATTTTATCGTTATAATAATGGAAGCTTATAAATGTTTAGTCTGTCCTCAGCCTCTGATCTGGCCTTATCTCACTCGGCCATGTTACCCTACTAACAAATTGTCTAATAAGGCTGTCAAATTATAATTGGACATATTTTTTTGCAGTTTATATTGGATACCCGTTGAATTTTATGATTCCATGGAGCTTGCAAAGACGTCTCCTGAAGCCGATGTTTGGGCTTTGAGTTCTACATTGTGGGAATTGTTTAGCTACGGTATAGAGTTACCCGAAGTACATACCATCGAGTCGTTCAAAAAAGTAAAGAAGCCTAACTAAATACATATGTTTGTACTTAATTAAACCGTATATTGTTCCGTGACTTAATAGAAATATGAACAGAACGGTAAAATGCCACAACCCGATAGCTGTACAGATGACATCTATCACATCATGTCCGACTGTTGGGATATCAAACCGTTTAATCGTAAAAAACCTCAGACAATATTGAGAGATCTGAGACAAATTTGGTTGAAAAGTAATCCAAGTTTAATGACTTGTATAAAAACGGGTTGGTTGAATTTTGATTTTTTTTTTAGTCTATGCAATTACTAATAGCCAACAAAACGATTACGCACCAATCAAAGATAAAGATGACACACAACCCGCCGATACATTAGTTGATAATACGTCTGAAAATGAAGGTATGTCATTTCTTAAATTATTTCCACGTTATAATTTATTTAATTATTATTTTTTATTCTAGGTGAAATATTTCGAGTGCCGAGTATCAGTTCTATTGGTGAAACAATGTCAGAACCCAATTCAAGTGTAATTCATTTTAAACTTATTAATCACAATATTATTTCCAAAAATAACCACTTAACGTTTTTTATTATTTAACCGTTTTCAGGATAACACCAACGATAGTGATCATGATTACAATCCTATATTCGAGTCCAGCATAAGTTACAATCATTTTTTTAATGAGGTAAACTATATGAATAATGATTTAAGTAAATAAATAAAATATTACTTATTGAATAATTAAGTTGAAACATAAATTAATTTTCATTTTAGTCGACTCTAAAAGAAGACATTAAAAAGGACACTGAAGATGATTTAAACTGCAATGACAAAATATACCAGTTTAATAACTCGACATTGAGCTTAGTGAACGTTATACAACAGGTACATAAAATATTGACACTGTATCTGTAGTGATCACTTAAACCTTTTTCATATGTTATAAATAATAAAGATCCATTTTTCTGTTTGTTTAGGGAATTCATGGAGTCGTTTTTAAAGGATTGCTGGATGATGGTGAAAACAAAATTAAAAAAGTTGCTGTTAAACGCATGAATAAGTCGTACCAGATGGAGAATTTTCAAAGAGACATAACGACTTTACAAGTACTTGCAAAATAATTTATGTTATAAAACAAAAGTGTGCAATATTTATGGCTTATATTTTTATATTCGTTTAGCGGTTGGATCATCCAAATATTGTAAAATTTGAAGGAGTATTGGAGGAACCAAATCTAATGCTTATAATGGAATATATCGAGTTTGGATCATTAAACACTTACTTGAAAACACATAAAAAAGAACTTTTTGATAAAACAAATCTTCTTTTGAAATATTCTCTGGACATTGCTCAAGTAACATGGTTTTTTTTTTTGTCTAAATTATTTCCAATTTTTTTTTTTGAGTCCTTGTTTGTTGTAACAAATTATAAGTATAGCATTTTATCTTTTTCAGGGAATGGAGTATTTAAAAACTCTAAACATTGTGCACAGATATTTGGCCACCAAAAACATATTGGTTGCAAGTTCTACAACTGTAAAAATTAATTTACAGACTCTGAGGGATGTACCCCTTAAATGGTAAATATAATGTATATGTATATATATATATATACATAGACCTTAATAGACACTTCTTTTAATGTAAAGTTATTTACTTTTAGGCATGCTCCAGAAGCTATTCTGTCTAGCAAGTATTCACCGAAAACGGATGTCTGGGCATTTGGTTTTGTACTTTTTGAGATATTCTCCTTGGGCAGAGAACCTAATTTTCTCTCCAAGTTAGAAAATAAAGCAGACGTGGAAAGCATAATAAAAGTTATGCAAGAAGGTCATCGACAACAGTGTCCACCTTACCCGCCGTGTTCAATGGATATTTACTTCAAGCTTATGTACCCATGTTGGTCTTATGATCCAACTAATCGACCTGATTTTAAACTGTTGATACAGATCATTCAGTGTTTGATGGACGAAACACCTAACGGCGGTTAATTAACTTGGTGTACCTAAATTATTTAATAATATTCAATATAGTAATACCAGTAGTCGCTCTTTTAGCTGATATTAAAAGATAGTATTTTTAGATTAGTCAAGTTGTTAAATTTTCAGTAGGTAGGTAGTTATTAATTCGTATAGTAATTAAGTAAAAAATAACTTAAGTTATTGATTATAATTCACATAATTAAACTACAGTCTACAAGTAATTACCTAAGTATAGAAATAATATTATATTAGTAACCTAAATAATTTACTTTTAAAGTCGAGAAGAACACACTAAAAATTGATTAAAGCATTATTTAAACTTTAATGAATGAAGAGTGTAAGTGTAATTAAGTATATTTCACACTGTCAGAGAAATAATTTAGTTTTTTTTTTGGTTGTTAAAAGACACTAATAATTATACTTATAAACTGTAATAAGATTACTCTAAATTTGCTTTTTTAATAGGAATCCATATCGAACACCTAGATCAAAACTGTAACAACTCAATAAACATCGTTTTTCGGGAATTCCAAAAAACTTATTTTCAAGTTTAATTACTTTAACTTTAATTGTTTGTTTTAATAAGACAGTTTTGTACAACAAATTTACATACACTCAACTTGATGTCTGAGCAGAAACTAAAATTTTAAACGGTTTTACAAAATGTACCTAAAGCGCCATATTTTGGAGAGTAATCAAGACAAATTTTAATTTGTTTTGTTGGTTCATGCAACTTCGTTTTGTAGAATCCGAATATAAAAATAACTAAAAATACCCACTTTTTGAGTTGTTACAGTTTTGATCTAGGTTTGCGATATATTACCTAAGTAGGTAGTAAGTGATTAAAAATATCATGTTTTTTTCTCTTAAATAGCAAAATATTGCAAATGTCTGTCGGTAAAATCATATAAATTGTATTTAGTATTTAACAATGTTGATTGTAAATCGATTATTGAAATGTATAGAAACAAAATGAACGATCATTTTGGAAAAATAACTTAAATTACATAGTTGCCTATATAAAAAGTGACATTGTTTTTTATTATAATATAAATCACATTTCAATGACAATTATTTCAACATTTAGTATTAGTTTCTTTAATGTATAATGTATATTATATCTTGTACTGTCGACGGTTAAAAGACTATTTACTGTAAGTGGTAGAAAGTGTTGTATAAGACATTAAACGGATTATAATGTTCTATTCATAATTGAAATTTATCATTACCGTTATTTTATAATGTTTGAAAATTTTGCAAAGTACACACAGGCAATGTAAGTAAAAATTGTAAGAAAATGGCGTCAAGTCTTTTAACCGTCAATAAATGTATTAATTGTTTTTTTCTTTTAAACTATAATACTTAAATTTTTAAAAATATTTGTCAACTTTTAGTATACATTAAGGATGTTGTACGATTTGTTCTACAAACTATTCGCCTAATAATACATATTAATTAATAATAAATATTTGCTTTAAATCTGTGTGTATACTATGCAATGTCATTATACATTATTAACTAAAATTATAATAAATTTAAAGGTTTAATAAGTTTTAAAATATGTAGTGTTGAATTATTTAAAATTTTGTCGAAAATCGCTGAGTCTTTTTAAGACTTCTGATAAAACTCCCATAGAAGACCACTGAAACGTTAAAGAGATGAAGTCAATAAAGTTATCTTATTATATATTGATTTTATTTACATTGTGTTATGCACCCTATATAGGATATACCTTATATATATATATTAAATCCCTATAGCTTAATGTTATTGATATTCGTAGTAACATCATGTCGTGGTAACGACTGTTCGTGGCAATTATAGCAACCTCAAAATTCATAGCTGCTCTTATCATATAATAATTTGTGTTGATAATAAAATACGTGTTTTCCCGCCAAAAGTTATCAATAACTGATAGGTTGGTATTTACAATTTAGTATTAAGTATTTAGCAATGGTAATAATGTAAATAAAATAACTTTATTAATATTTATTCTGCTTCGAATAAATTAAATCTTAAATCTTTGTACCGACGCAGTGTTGAAAAAGGTTCTTTCCATATTACATTTTATTTCTAAATTGTTACGACAACATGACAGATCAGTCTGTGAAGTTAAGGAAAAGAGTCATTAGTACATTCTCTTTGAACGGTTTTACAATTGAAGAGTAAGAAAACATTATCAACTTTTTGTAATTGAATTTAACGCATTTTATTTTGCAGGCGAGCTTGTGCCTATTTAGTCAGTCAGTTAGAACCTCTACCTAATGATCGGGAAAGAGACGCATGGTTGGACAAGATAGTCGATTACATACAAAGTTCTTCGCACAACAACACATCCACATTGGTTGATTTCGAGTTACTAGTGAAAGCATTGAAGGTAGAAACAATTTATTAAATTTATTTTGGAACTAATATTTTTGTTGTGAGTTATTATCATGATATGTCTTTATTAGTTTTGCTGTGACTCTGAAGTATTAAATGCAAACGACACATTATCAGTTAAGGATTGCATACAGCAATACAACTATCGTTATAGATATTGTCCGGTCAAAAAGAAATTTTTTAAAGAAAGTACCAACGATGGTTCTCAGTTATCTTTGTTTGGTGATGCACGAGCCAAGATTCGCCAGTTTGTAGATAGGTACGCAACACTGTGGTGATAACATTATTGTATCGTGATCCATATATGTTTTTTTAAATTTTTTTTTGATTGTATATTATGTTCAATCAGGTATACAATTGTCAAGCAGCAAATGTTTCGAGTGCACGCTGCTACTGCAAACACTAGTAGTAAAGATAATGGTGGTAGTCAGACTATCGGTGATCGATTACGAGACGTTGACTATTTGTTGAGTAGTGGCGGTGCTGTGAAAGGAAGGTCTATGAAATCATCTAGTTCTTTGGAAAACATTATACTTTTAGGCATAATAACTCAGTTAAAAGAAGGCCGTTATTATATAGAAGATCCGACTGGAGCCATACAACTTGATCTCACAGATACAATATCCTTTTTAAAACTATAATTAACAAAATTGTAAGAAATGTATTGCTGCAATTAGTTATCGCTCATGTCATACACTCTTGATGTTATTTTTTATATATTTTTTTACCAGTTACGTATTTTCCTTAAACTAATTTTTAAGACTTTCATAAGGGATACTTTACAGAAAACTGTTGTGTGCTTGCTGAAGGTGTGTATGATGAAATAAATTGTGTTTTTAAAGTTGCCGACATGGCATTGCCACCGGGAGAAAGTGCTGAAATCAGCAGGTTATTTTTAACATTTATACATAAAATTTATATAATAATTTAAATTGCACTTATTTATTAAATTGTTAATCGGTTTTTCATTTGTTACACAGAATATATTTTGGCGATTGTTCTGATGAGATTTTCACAAAATCAAATTCAACAACTCTAAAAGCGTACGAGGAAAAAAATAAGCGCATGATTATATTTGTGAGCGATATTCATTTGGACAACATGAAGGTAGACAGACGATCAATCCTAATCGTATCCATACTTACACTAAAATTTAAACTTAAAATTTACAATGGTCTTTATCAATATATAATGTTTATACCATCAACAGATTCTCATCGAAGTGTTTATTTAAAAGTGACTTTGTCAATTATAATTGTAATAATTCTCGAAGACCTGTGACTACACAAACTTTGCTATGCTTGGTTTTCACTGGCTTTTTAAATATTATTTTCAGTAACATTAGAACCGCTTTTATGTTAAAAATTTAGCTATTTATTTTGAAATAACTTGTAAGAAAAGTTAAAAAAAAAAAATTTAAGCAACTAATTGTTAAATGGCGGGATGTTAAACGATATGGCAAAAATGTATCTAAGCTTAGATATATTTTATATTCATACAAGTTGCGTATGTAGTACACAACTAATATTTTTGTATTGAGATCTTAATAGCATGATAAATTTTCAATCGTAGAATTACATATATTTTTCTTTCATAACTTAAAGTGTTGATGTTTGTTGTCACTGTATTCTATGAATTCCTATTATATATTATTACAGGTCCTTGGAAAATTTAAGACATTGTTGAGAGGTTTCAACGATCATTCACCTGCAGCGATTGTAATGACTGGTGACTACCTAAGTGCATCTTCAGTACCGGGCTCTCAATACGCTATTCAATTACAACAACATTTCACCGAACTCGCAGAATGGATTACAGCTAATTGTCCACGAATTTGCCGAGATACCACTTTTGTAATATTGCCGGGCCCCAATGACCGCCATTGTGCAAATATTTTACCGAAGTATGAACGTGTATTCAGTACTTATACAATTTAATTGACCGTGTCGGAATATAGTAGTGTTAACCAAAGCTGTTAGAGTTTCTGGCCAGAATTTACATTTTAATCAAGATACGCTTTACGTGATTACATTGTTGTTTTAAAATCTTAGGCTTGCACTGCCGGAATTTTTAACGCAACGGTTCAGTCAATTGTTACCTAAAACGGTGTTCACAACAAATCCTACTCACATGAGGTATTGCACTCAACGGATGTGCATCGTTCGTGCTGATCTCATTACGAAAACTCTGAGAAATGCTTTGAACATCAAATTGCAGAAAAAAAGTGCGAGCGTCGATACTAGCATAGAAAATGTGGCAACTAATGTATAAATTGTTATCAAATTTGTATACTGTAAAATTTGTAATGAGGAAAATTATTGTTTTTTTGTAATTACAGTATGTGAAAACACTTAAGAGTCAATCTCATTTGGTCAGCCTTCCAGCGGATGTTTGCCCCGTGTACTGGACTCGAGCACAGTCGCTGAGCTTGTATCCAATGCCTGATTTGGTTTGTGTTGCTGACAGCGACGCTCCGCCGTTTTGTGTGAATAACGACGACAATTCTCAAAGGTCCAGTCCAGGATGTGTGTATATTAATCCGGTAAGTTTGATGCCATAAAATTGCACAACATAAGCTTTAATCTTATTTAATTTAGGTACAAACAAAATTTGAAGTTAGACTAGAGTATTTATTTTAATATTTACCGGATATAAAAAAAAAAAATCTGTAGAAAATAACTGGTATTGACACATTACGATAATGTATATAAATATATATACACTAAGTAAACATATAATTACTACTTAACGCGGTAATAGAATAAATTTGTAACACAATAAGAAAATATTTTATTTGAGTGAATATACTAGAAGGAATTGTAAAATTATATTAAGTATATTTTTTATCGTTTTTAATATTTTTCCGTAACAATAAAAATAATACGTTATTGATAAAATTATTATGCTAACAGAAACGATACTTAATGTTATATGGGTGACACAGTAAGGCATTTTACAAATAACTTTTTACCTACATGTAGTGATAAAAGATAATCTTTTATTTAATACATTATTATTATTTGATTATTTATGACGAAACTCGTTATCCTAGTTCAAATTATTCCCTATTTATCATCCATTATAATTTTTAATGTTTTATTATTTCAAATATTTTTTTTAACAATTTTATTCACTTTTAATAAATAATGCTGAATTTGTATAAATATAATTGCATTAGTCAAAACCATACCCAAGATCGTTCAAAAATTGGAATATAAGAAATTATTTAAAATATATATTTTATCGATATAAAATTTTAATACATTGCAAAATTAATAAAAATTAATTAATGGTCCTCTACACTATCATTTATTAAGGGGCAATTTTGATTAATGTGGAAAGTTGCAATTTTTAAAGTTTTTCTTTATGATTTTGCAATGTCAATAAAAACGAATATTAAAAATGTACTTCAATCGATACATCAAGCAAGTACTGAAAAATATGTCCAATTTGTCAAGACTATGTTTCAGATTACAGTAGAAATTAGAATGAGTTTTTTGTTTATGTTCATAAACACACAGGTGTACAAAAATAGTAAAAGATGCATTTTTTATTTAAAAAAAATAGTTGTTTTGGGGGCACTTCAAACCTTTTTGTAATTACATTAAATATGAAATAAATTACAAATTCTATGAACCAAAATATTATACGGTAATAAAAAAAAATTACATTATATTACACCCCTATTAGGTTTGTTTGGAGAGGTAGGACAATGCCACGTAGAATAACTGACTTATTTAAACTGAAACACTTTAATAAGTGTGTATGTTGTTGCGACAACTTTAATTATGGCACATTCTTAATTTTTAAACGTAAAACCAGGAGGTGTTAACTATTTGGGGAAATTTTAATGTAATATAGTATTTGAATTAAGTATATTAAAAGTCAATCTGACAGCTAGAAAATGTTTTTTTAAACTTAATTTTACAATTTATATAATTGTTTAAAAAGCATTAAATAGTACACACACTACAGAGAACCAACTCAGTGTGATAATACAATCGCAGACAGCTTGTCTTTACGTCAACATACGCAAGTGGGTATTTTATGTACAGGAATATTGTGAAAACTGTAAACGGACATTAAAGACTAAATATAACCTCATTAAATATATTATACACAACTATTTAACTTAAAAAAAAAATCAGTTAAAAGTAGCTGAACAATTTGAATAGGTATTTATGATCATGTTCGATATTATATTATTTAAAAAATGATGCACAATTAGTCTGCCTATCTACAGAGAATAAGTACTTGTATTGCTAATTTGTTTCGATTTATAATTTGTTAAAGCTTCAAAATAGTCAGCTATTGTGCAAAAATCTAACAAAAGAAAATTTGCATGTACATTAAAGACAATTTTATATTAAAAAAAAACCCTAGTTCTAAAAATTAAGGGTTTTACACATGTCTCAAGTATTAATAATGAAATTGTCTGTTTGTTTGTTTTTTTCAGTCGTCTTTTTCCAAACGACAATACACGTTTATAGTTTATATGACGGCAGAGCGGAGAGCTGACGAAAGTCAAATTCCCCCGGATAGCGTCGACACAGATATGGAGTTACAATAATCATAATTGACATTTGTCATGTTGTATTCAATTTGAGTTTTTTTTTTTAAATTATTTATTAATTAAAGAAATATAAAATAGTTATAAAATACCTTATACTATATTACAAATATATTTCTTATACTATTTTTTTGTTGTAAGATATTTTTTTTACATCGTTTCTTATAGTTAACTAAATAATTATAATAAAAAAAAAAAACAATTGTCATACAATACAGGGTTTTTTTTTTTTTGTTATTGGTCATATTGTAATAAAAATAAATAACAATACAACTTATAATATTAAATATAATTATACCTATATATCTATGTATATAAAAGAGAAGTAAAAAAATGTATCAAAAATTCTAATAAAGTAGTATAGTTTTGGTTACTGGCTTGCGACAAATTGGACATTCTTGCATTCTGTCGCCACACATTTGACATGTACCGTGACCGCACATGAAGACCATATTTTTCAGACGATCCAAGCACACGGGACACATTGTCTGCAAAATTATTAAAAATGGCAAATCAATCAAATTCCATCGGTTTTAAAGGAAAACGGAAAAATTATTAACAACAGACCTGTTCTTTGATGTCTTGCAATTGTTGCTGCAACTTGACGACGACGACGTCCAAATTATCGCTTTTATCCATGGGTCTGACTACACCGCCGTTGTTCATCAACGAATCGTTAGTGCCGTACGACGAATTCCAATAATCTAACAACGGTAACGTTTTAAACGTATTGTTTATATTCATTAAAATGGTTTGAGGAAAAAAATTGAGTACCTTGTGGCCGCTGTTGTTTTGAACTGGCTTCAGCAACGGCATTTGTTTGATACGAAGCCGAGTTCAAATAGTCTAAATGCGAGCCGTGATGATGATGAAGATGATTATGTTGATTGTGATTTTTGGCATTAGGACTCGAAGCGGACAAAGCAGCACTGGTCGACGGTTTAGTGCAATAATTGGGCATTGGAACCGACGTTGTCGAAGGCGCAGCCACAGATGTACACTTACAAGCACACGTAACGCAACACTGTTCCGGAGCAGGCGTGGCAGTCGGTGAAATTTCTGATGCCAGAGCGTTAGTTTCGTTATTGGCAGTCGATTCTAGTGGACGATCGCTTACGTTAACGTTATCGGTGTTCTTGTCCACCTGCCGGAGAAAAGTCGATCATTTTTTTAAATTAATGATCTACAAATATTGCGAAATTTATCCGAGTTACGGATTTACTTACGTTGGTGTTGTCCTTTACAGATCCAATAGCTGCTGATGTTGCGTTAGCTCTGGCACCCTCTCCGCAGTAACAACAACAAGTCAGTGTTTTGTCTGCTGATGCTGCTGCCGCTGCAGCCGCTACAGTATTGTTGATAGGTTTTTGTTGAGATTTACTACCGACAGCAAACGGTTGAGCAATGGCTTCGGTCGTCTCGGCAGGCTGTGAAGAAGTAGACGGAACAACGTTGACATTTGGCTGTTTGTGCATAAGATTTTGATAAGCGTGATTTTGTTGAGACGTTGTGCCCGGAGCGGTGTTGTTGGCCATATTAATGTTGTTGTCGTTGGGCGTCGCTTTATTGCTACAACAGAAAGATGGTGACAAAGGCGGAGTATCAATCTTGTTAAGAGACACTCCGGGTGCCGCTGCCGGGTATGGTGCTGCGGCTGTTGTCGACGCTCCGGCATTTGTTGATGTAGCTGCCGCTTCTTGTTGTTGTCGATCCCTGACGAGACAGATAAATAATTACGGTTAAGTTCAGTTGTTTGAAATAATGACTTAACTCATATAATATCATGCCTTGGAAAGATAGCTAACGGGTTGTGTATTCTAACTAATTTATCGCACTGGCCGAGTGTGGTCGTACAACAGAGCAAAGTTAAAAGTACAAAATGTAAAAAAAGCACACCTCCTTTGAAAGTAAGGTGAAGTCGTGCAGGTAAATTAAAGAATATATTATACATTATTGTAGAAGTATAGTACTTGGCGCATTTTATTAGAGCCCGACGAAGAGCCGGATCCGGGCATAGGTCCAAGGGCGTTTGGCCTTTTTTGTTGCGTTGATACAAGTCGGCTCGTCCAGTGCCAGCCAAAAAACATGTAATGGAACTGGAAACTGAGCTCGATGATGAATTTCCCAGTGCACTTGCCGAGCCCGAACCCGAAGATGTCGCAGTTGGTAATTTCTTGTCCGTACCCATCTTCATCAGCATCGACCCACCGCTAAACAACTGTAAAAAGATAGAATAGAGTGTTACTATTAATTATGAATTCATTACTTTAAGCTGAATATCCCACAAAACATAATTCCAATATTAATTTGTTGTTATTTAAGTTAAAGGTGGATTTAAAAAAAAAAAAAGTCAAACATGTATAGTAACAATGTTGGCATTGTTTAATTTTCAATAATTCATTAAACAAATTTTAACCTAATTAAGTAGTTAAAAATGTAATTTAATTTTCATTTTGAACTTGATCATTGAAATGTTATTCAAGTTAACTTGAATAAAGTTAATTTAAATTTATTAACTTGGCCAGCCTCGTGTAAGAGTTGGTCTTATTTAAACTCTTGCCGTGGTGTTAAGAAATTAAACTTTGAAAATAGAGCCCTTCAAAAAAAAAAAAAACCATAATAAGTCCATAGACTTTTGTAGTAATTCTTCTTATATTTCAAAAGGAAAAAAACACATTGAAATCTGACTAGGTCCTACTTAGACATGAGATTTATCCTCTTTGAACATGTGTTTGTTGTGTAACTTCATTGTTCTTATTTTTAATTGTTAATTCAATTCATTTGTCGAATAATTTTGTATTTAAATAAAAATCGAAATATCAATTCGAGTCAAATAACAATTTAAACGAAATAAGCTCAACGAATAAAATCGTAAGATATTTATTTATCCGTCACAAAAAAAAAATCACCACTGCGTGCATGGCAATGACAATATTTACAATACACATTGAGTGTGTACACACCGGTCGTTATACGTTTTATTATGAAATCGATAAATATATATATATATATATATACATCCGAGGGGGACAAAAAACTAACCCAACTATGTAAAAAAGACTGTTAATATCGAAGGAAAAAATATTGGAATCATTTCGGGATGCGACAAAAAAAATAAAATAAAAAATAAGTCCCGCTACATAAAATACGACTTTTTAATAATAATATCTTATGCAAAAATATACAACTTAATATAAAGTTTTTCTCGTGAAATCTGTTGCGAACGGATTTCCATCTAAATGGAAATCGCTTCTCCGCAAACCGGCGGAGTGCTGGAAAAGTTGAAAAAAACTTATTTCGCTCATACACGGTAGTAACATGCCCGTTTGAACGCACAACGAGCGGAAAAACTTTTTTTCCTACTAACGAGTTGTAGTTTTGTTATTATTATATTGTTACTTACATTCCATATATATATATTTACATATAAAAGGCGGCATAAGCCGGATGGCGGCAAAATTATTGTGGTCGTTTAGCGCAGTAACAGCTGAAGTTCCATCACCCCCACGAAAAAAAAAATAAATAAAAAAACCGTTTCCGTTTTTATAATTCGTTTAAGCCGGACTAATTATATTTTTGGACTCACGAGAACGCCGTTTTTGTTTGAATAAATTTGTCTTTAGAAAATTATATTACAACCGAAAGTGAATAAAAATAAGGAAAACCCTATAGTTATTTTCTCAGCTCCACGGAAATCATTGAATTATGTTATCTCATACCTGATACCTCTTATCATTTCTAATAATAATAATAATATTTAACCATGGATATGTTTTAGGATAACTATTATCACTTATTTCTTATCACTTGAAAGTGGAACTGTAACCGGTAACGCGAAAATGGTGACAACATTTCTTGTATCCAGCCCAATAACATAGGTATCCATGTTAAAAATCAATTCAAGTTCATTGTAAAACTCATTGTAATACCTTTTCGAGGTAAGCGTTTTGAATTTGAAAAAACATACATAAATGTACTTATTTTAAATATTATTTTATTTTATATAACCATAAGTTGCTCAAGTTTTTTCTAGTTTGTACTTTATTTTAATTCAAACACTGCAAAAGTATCGAAGCGGGAGAGAACATTAGGTAGGTAAACGTGCATGTATATAATAATAATCAATTAGAAATAGTAAATTGCAATAATTACCCGGCGGTCGAGGGGAAGTGGCAATTTCGCATGGTAATAATATGGTTAAAAATAAACACGAGTAATACAATTTATTAAGAAAACGAGTACCGGAGGAATAAATCGAGCCAAGGAAACGTTTCAGTTATTTCAAACGACTAACGATTTCAAAAGCTAAATAAGTTTCCGTTTGAAAAAACGGCACAAGTCAAAATAAACTACTAATAACTAGTTTTTTAAATTTCAGTTGACAATTAGGTTTAAAATTGTTTTTGTAACCATTTTAAACACGCCGACTAATTTTAATATGAAAAAAAAGTTTTTCTAGTTATAAAACGTTTAAAGTTATATTTGTCTGGTTTATGGCAAAAGTCTGATTTCTGATAAAATGTTGGAAACAAAAATAAAAAATAGTCCATTTCCTAGATAATGTGTTAAACTTAATAACAAATTTTTTTTTTTTTTAAATCTGTTCAGTAGCACTTCAGAAAGTGACTGGGTTTTAGTTTTAATACAATTTGGCGTTTTCCGTCCACCTTAAATTAATGTTAATAACAATTTTACTATAATTAAAAAATACAAATATTTTTGTTTGTGCTGTCTTTCAAATTTATTTAGATTTAGTTAGCAAAAATCTGTTTTTTGTTTAAAGCCTGACCTACTTTAGAAATAAATACCAAACGTTTTTCGGGTTTTGAATTAACATTAAATCATGTTGTTATATTATATGATATGAAATTAATCCTTTTAATATATATATATATATATATATATATATATCAGCTATACAGAGGGATATTTTGTGTATGTTTTAGCATTTTTGGAGATGACCAACTCTATTTATGAGATTAGTATTTTTTTTATCATGTACAAACTGGAATCTATTGTAATATGTAAATAACATAATATAATTCCCAAAAAGTACCCGACCTAAAAGCATTTGCTGGGAATGTAAATAGCTCTAACCAACTTAGGCTTATACAGAGGTCTCGCATGAATAATTTTTTGTTCAAGACTTTGAAAAAAAAAACATAGTGCCGTCACTGGTTGTTTAGAGTCTGAACAAATTGTGACATTTGATACACTTATGTCATATCAGTGTCGACGTGATGTATAAAGGTCCCGTTGATGTATTTTTTCTCTTTTTTTAGAGTCCCTTATAATAATTTGAAAACAAAAAAAACAAGACTTATTGGATTTGGTTCAGATCAAACACCTACATTGTCACGTTACAACACAATTTACCTATAGAATGTTTTGTTTGACTATGTTTTTCGACTAAAGATTTGAATACACGCACAAAAAAAAAGGGGGGGGGGTCATTTTATTTAGCATTTAGCAATGGAGTCATACGGTGAAACATGGATTTCGGCCAATAATACTAATGTATTAGCCTTAATATAACCCTAACACGGTTAATAGATAACAGAACTTCTGGTCAACATCATTTGGTGCTCGAAAAACTGGCATAGTTAACTTTTTTGTATATTTTAAAATCAATTTCGGTTCTCCAACACTATACAGAACAGTATAAGAGGTTAGCATACAGTAAAACGAAAGCAAAACAATTATTTAAATTCTTCATTGTTGTAGGGATTTAAAAAAAAAATCCCCATCCCTTTACAAAAGCTTGCGTACGAATCCGCAACCACGGGAGACATTTTATCTGTTATATCTTTTATCACTCTTATCTTACTTATCATATAAATCATCAGAAATTTTCGTTAGGTAAAAAACTGTCGATTTTTCCGGTTGTGTGCCAAAGTAAAGACATAAAATGTCAAAAGTGTTTTATTTTTTCTTATTCAAAATAGATGTTTAGGATGTTATGCTCTTAAGTGGAATTCGTTGGAGTTCTTTGGTAGGGTTTCTTGATTTATCAGTTGCCAAAAACATATTAAACCGTCGAACTGAGGTCGCATTGCCGCCATAGACAAATTTGGAAGAACGGGGACTCGTTCCAAAATTGCATTTTCAGCTGGCTCGGAAACTGTTTTTGTTTTTTCACCGAACACGACACGAGTAAGTATGTTTTAATAAATACAATTTTTGCAGAAAAGCAGCCGCCGCAATTAATTTTGGCTTTTTACTTAACCACCGCTATTATAGGAGTTTGGGATCAACTCTAAACCGAGTTAATGCACCGCTCCGAGTCGTCGTGACTGTATTTTGGGGAGCCATTTGAAAGGGTTCGAAGGCCTGTTGATAATATATATATTTTTTAATTTTTACCTTATTTTCCGTGGAGCAACATGACGGACCAGCCGCTGTCGTTTGACCGCCGGCGGTCATGTGTAGTTGCCGGATCTGCTGAAGGGTGTGATGGCGAAGGGCTTCGTGTAGAGCCGTGTCTCCGTCCTTGTCCGGCACGTTGGGATCCGCACCGCTTCGGACCAACAACTGCAAGCCAAAGAAACATAGTTTATAAGAAAATATGTAGTTTAGTCGTTTTGGTCACACTGCGGCTCGCCTTTTCGCTTACTCTATTATATTATACATTTTCCGACCACCTGGCTTTGCAATTAAAATGTATAAACGGACTGCGTTTGACAGCCAAATTAACGAAAGGATTAGTTAGTTTCATAACGTGACGATTTAAACATTTTGAACATCTCCGAGGGTCCCCTTTCCCTAAGTTAAATAAATACCTCCTCAAAGTATTTTCGTCCGCTTACTATTAATATTACTACCACCGGGACCCAATTAAATGAATATTTATTTTTGAAAGGGCAGCCGCCTCAAAAAAAAAAAAAAAAATAGTTATTTTTCCTGCTCTATGGAAAAATATTTAATCATGAATAATATGTTTCAGGATATCTGTTATCACTTATGTTTAACCTCTTATCACGTGAAAATGAATGTGTAACGCAAAAATTATAAATACATGTTAAAAAATACTGTTTCATTTTTACCACCACAGCTTACCCATAAAAGTACTTGTAACATTCAAATTGTATCTCTAATTAAAACAAAAAAACACATAGAAACTCCAGAAAGCATATTAAAAGACATCTGTGGTTTTTTATTCTCACTGTCTTCTTAGTCTAATTTATAAAGCTGTTTTCCTTCCTATAACCAGAAATCGTCCCACCGTAAACATTATGAATAAAATATATGAACATTTACAGTTACATAGGTTGGGTAAAAAAATAATTAATATTGCAGGTGTACATTACCTATAATGTATATTATTGTGGCTAGGATCCGAGACTATATCAAAATGACAAATTAAACGGAGTGCTGTAATTATTTGGGCTTTTTAAGTTTTGTGGATTGAAAATAGCAAATATCATACCTACAAAACGGTTATTGAATTTTAATCAGAAGTATGGTTCTGTGGCGTTATACTGCAAAGTTTAATATTTATCTAGTAAAGCGAGTAACGACGGCAGTCATTGCATAAAATACAACTACTCGAGTCTGTATTTGTAAATATTTGATTTGCAAAAGCACATAATACCGGTATTTAATGAACGACGCACAGAGGTATAAATTAATACCGAGGAACATATCGTATGGAAAACGTGCTCTCTTGTATAAATAAATATTTTAAAAGCTTTTTTCCAGAACCGGCCAAAAGCGTTTTATTTTAACGACAAGAGTCTTTATGAAATACATTCCAAACGGCGTAGGTTTATTATACATTAATACGTGGCAAAGGTAAACGATATCATACACAAGACACGTGCGGGGAGGATTTCGCCTCCACTTGAACTAAAGTCATAAAACGTTATTTGCGTACAATTTCCCAGAACAATATGCCAGGAATGCGTTGTACAAAGGTATATGAGTTCTCCGAACAAATTCACTCACCGACGCCATTCGATTTAAAAGTTCTCAGCACGAACACACCGAGAACGTTATAATATAAAGGTTAAAGTTCTTGGAATGAAAATTAGGGAGACCGTTAAAAGGTCAGAAGTTCTCAGAAGGAAAATAAGGAAAACGTTATACGGTCAAAAGTTCTTGCAACAAATGATTATTTAAGCAAGTTAGTCCAACAGCAGTTCGAGAAACCAAATCAATAACACAACGCTTTATGCTCGTGAGCGAAAATTTAACGGGACTTGCTGAGAAACATAAAGTAATAATAATAAAAAATAACGTTAAAATGTTTGTTGTTTGTGTGTAAAATTAATTTTCGTCGAAAATGTTAAGACAATTTTGTGTTCACGGTTCAAAACTTTTTGTTTTTAAATTGTTTTTCACGTCGTATGTAACAATTTACTTTATCAACATTTTTGTAGGAAAATTATATAACCATACTGATTTGATGTAGATTGAACTAAAATGTTTTCCATAATTATTAGCGTATAAAAAAAAAAGGATTATAAAAAAAGGTCGCCTACATTTAGCAGAATTTTGTAATTTCTTATAAAATATTATTCTCTTATAATTACATTAAACGGACCTATGTGTTAAAAATAACATTTTATATGGAAGGGAGTGCACGCAAGACATTCAATTCAAAAGGTTATTTTTTCGATGACTTTTGACTTGATGATTTAATTTTCAACACCTACAAAATATCGTTAAACTCCATACAAGTTATTTAAAAAAAAAAAAATGTATTCTGTTAAGTTAATTTTTCATAGTAACATAATCTACAAGACGAAAAATTTCTTTCAAAAACAGTATTACGTCGAGTAACATCTTCCCCTCTCAAAAAAAAAAAAAATAAATAAATAAATGGGCCTAACCTGAACTATTAATTCCCTTGCTTCCCCAACCGCATCCTTCTTCCTCAATTTACACGGTCTTTCGTCCCTATTCAGATATTCCTGTTCGTCTATAAAAATACTTAACGGATGTGGCAGGATAATAACTTAGTGTCCTCCTTTTTTCCAAAACTTTCCTTTATGGCATCGCCTAATCAATTAGCCCTATCAATCAACCCGTGGCTTCGTGGTCTTAATCTTACACGAAAATACATTCCTTCCTTTTCCCGTCCGAGGTTTGGTCATAATCTCCTTTATCATCCCCGCTATGCACTTTGCACGAGGAACAACTTTGCACTTATCACACAAAAACGCAGTTATATCTATGTATTATAATTTTTAGTTGTGCTGGTGTCAATTTTTCGTTTACATTGAAGGTGGCCCTTTTGCTTTTATCTATTCTGTGATCAAACTAGGCGAGTATTTTTTTTTACTTCTGGTTAGGTTAACCCCCGCCGGCGGCCTTACGTTTTAAAAATTTTTTTTCTCTCCATATTTTATACACTTATAATCAAGTTTTAAAGGTATAAAAAAAAAAAATACTCACTCTGACTATTTGCACGTGCTGGCGCTCGACGGCCAGGTGCAGCGGAGTCTGCAAGTTAACGTTACGTGCGTCCGTGTCGGCCCGACCGACTTCCACCAACAGCTGTGCGACTTGGGTGTGATTGTTCAGTGCAGCCAAGTGCAGGGCCGTATAGCCGTCATCTTTTTTCTCGTCCACCATCCACCAGTGTCTTCGTGGCAATTTCGACAGCAGCACACTCATGGCACTGTAACAGAATAAAATAACACATGTTGCAGTGGTTGACGCAAAAAAAAAAAAAAAATACACAAATTACATTTACAATATACAGCTATGAACTCCCGTGGATAATATCCCAATACTCTTATACAGAGTCGGTTAGGGCTGTACAGAAACCTAACCCGACCGAGAGATCACAAGGGTTTAGTGTTAAAGGTAGACCGAGGAAAAAATGGGTGGACGTGACGACAATTGTGGAGACAAACTGATTTGAACTGATTGTACAATTTTGGATAAGAGGAAAATTCGACAGTTTTTCATCTACCATAATACATGACTTGTGTCGTCTATGTTGTCTTTGGATTATTTGTATTAAGAGAAAATATAAGCTGAAATTCCGTTGCCGTGGCAAAGTGTATTTACATAAAATCGATTAACTCTTTATAGGTAAAAAAAAAAAAAAACATTAGCTTCTGCTAAACAAATTAAACGGATTTACTCTACAACACCACACGACACCGATTTAACACTTTATAATATGGCCACTTCGTTCAACGCAGTTACACATGTTATTTTCGATATGGATGGAACATTATTAGGTATATAAAATCGACATATTTTGATTATATTTTCCCACGTTGTCAGATTTGATGAATTGAATTTGTGTACCGGTTGCAGATACCGAAAGCGTCCACAAGAAAACGTACACGGCTATTGCACAAGAGTTTGGTAAAGAGTTTCCAGACGAACTTCGCATGAAAGTACTTGGAACCCAAGAAATGGACGGGGCCAGAATAATGGTGAACGCGCTGCAATTGGATCTGACGCCAGAAGAGTTTTTGCGAAAAGTCCAAGTCATAGAAGAAAAAGAATTGCCAAAAGTCAAGCTCATGAGTGGTAATTATACCCTATTGTAAACATGTACAAAAAATGTAAGACGTTGGCAGTTATCCTATCATATTAGATGCATGTAATTTTCGATAGACCTAACCAACGTTCAGATTGGTCAGATTTCACAATAATATTTTAGGTTTTGATTGTGCCTACAACGTCGTGGTATGTCTGGACAAAAGTATTATACATTTTCGTTGTTTTTTTAGGAGTTAGCGAATTGCTAACGCATTTGCACGCCAATGGGATTCCGATGGCAGTGGCCACGAGTAGCACAAAGAACAGCTTCGAAATGAAAACCACTTGTCACCAGGAGTTATTCAAACTCTTTCACCACATTGTCACCGGTCCTAGCGACCCCGAAGTGAAAAAAGGCAAACCAGCACCGGACATATTCAGAATATGTGCTTCCAGATTCGAGGATCGACCCGAAGTCTGCGAGGTATGTGCACAAACACCGAGAAAACTAAATAAGACTTGCTTTGAAATTTTCTTATATATATATATATAAGAAAATTTCATATACATTTATATATACATTTGATTGGCAGTGCTTAGTAATAGAGGATTCGCCTAACGGCGTGGCAGCAGCGGTCGCGGCCGGCATGCAAGTCGTCATGGTGCCAGACCCGATTCTGTCTAGAGATCTTACCAGAGACGCCACTTTGGTTCTAGATTCTTTGCAAGACTTTCGACCGGAATGCTTTTCACTGCCACCTTTCGGCGGTAACTGATATGCGAAATTTATTTTAACATATTAATATGTGTAAATAGGTGCGACAATAAAGTTTAAAAAAAAAAATCTTAATTGAAAAACGCCCGGATTCTTGATCTTAGTTTATTTCGTGGTCTGATAATAGAGTGATAAGTCGCATATACGACTGGTGGGTGGACACTCTTTTAAAATTAAACAATATGGATATAATTATCACTAAAAAAAACGTGGCTGCCATCTTCACATTTACCAATAATAGTATGAATAAATGACAAATGTAAAATATATACCAGCCGTACTCAAGACGGACGAGTTGCAAAGAACTAAGAAAACTTCAGTTGCAGACATTACCTGCAGTACACAATTGTTTATACATTTTTATTTGCATTTATATTACATAATTAATTTTTTAAATTTGGTTGACATAAGTACCGTTTGCCAAACAAAAGAGACGATGACTTTGTACACGGCCAAAGCGAGGTGTTTACAAACCAGACCGAGCTCAATAATTGTGAGGGGAGATAAGATAAAGGACCTCCTTGTGGAACAACAGACAAATAACGCAAAAACAATTTTTAACGAAATTATATTTATTTTCACACGAAACTCTACAAACGTGAGCCACTCAATAAGTCATTGGGTTAAAAAAAATTATTTAAATAATTGAATTTATTTTTCATTTGTTTTTATGTAATGTAATCTCAATTTTCCACACATTTTTATGTTTCTACTCCCCTCCCAAACTAATTATTTTTATATCAACTTTTGAAACTTAAATGGTAACGCATACATTTAATTACATTTTTTAATTGAGAATACTGTACTAAAAATGTTGGCTATCAACCAGTCAAAATGTTTAGTACATTATTCTTAATTTAAAAAGTTAATTAAGTATATATATTACCATTTAAGTTTCAAAAGTAGAAGGGGGTAAAAACAAAAAAAATTGTGAAAAATGGAGATTACATTGTATAAAAACGCTAAATAACTGAAAAAAATATTTAATATCTTATTAAACCCTGTGAGATATTGAGTGGTTCACGATAAAATTATCACCCTGTATACTATTGACATAACGCAGAGAGATCTAAAGTATTGACACAAAAAATATAGAATTATAATTTTGGCTCATTATAGAGCTTATTCGAGTTTATTTCAAAACTATGTAAATATTTTGAGAATTTTTACAGTTTGATGTAAATAGGAGAGTAATATTTGCGACTAACCAAATTATCAATCAACTAAGTATTTATATAATAACCTTCCGACATTTTTTATCCCAAACGTTAGAACTAATAACGGAAAATGTGAAGATAGTTTAGAAGAAAATATAAACTAAAACGCTTGTTTCTCAAATTAAAAACAAAAATTAAAAATCGGCCTTTAAGTCCCCATAAAGAAGTTAAACCTTATAAAACACATTAGAAAATGACTTATAGATCTACAAAAAAAAAAAATGTTGAATAAACACCCAAACCCTTTTCCTTCGAAAAAATGAAACCCTATTTCTTTTTTATGGGCATAGTTTTTGTATTCGAGGGCTGAATACTATAAACTAATAAAACGATCCGAAACCCATTTTATTGTTTTTATAGTGACTTGTATTGAAAGTGTTATTACTTTTTTAACCGCCATCGAAGTTTTTCGATAGTGATTGTTATCAATACAAGTAGGAAAACTTCGACTGTACCGGGCTATGGGTTTCTTTTTTTCTTTTTTATATAGCTACAGTTAACCTAACCTAACCGATACCTAGCTGCAACGATGCTTGATACGGCTAACATAGGTTAGCTGGTGCTTATTCGTGTGTGCACACATTGGACGGTACCATACAGAGCGCAATAGAATACCTAATAATAGTTATAAATAATACACAGGGTGATTCATGTTAAGGACAGGACGCTCAATTTCTCTTCAAGTAGTTGCGCAGTGGTGTAGGTTTTCCTAATGAATCGCCCTGTATAGCGGTGTGTGGCAACAGTACGGCCGCCGCCGAGACTGCGATGCAGGAGAGCCTGCGGCAGGCGGATGCGACGACGCATAAGCCCTGCGTGCCCGGCCAGGATCATCAGCCTCGACGACCGCCGCCACATGTGCAACGGCGACGACCAAGGGGTAACACATGTGTTGGGGATATACACTACTACTATTACACACTACATACGTACATAATGTGCACAAACATAAAAAAAAAAAAAACGGACTAGAAATAGTTTGTATCTTATTATAATATTATTATTATATGTGCGTATACCCCCTCACGGACGGTATGATATTTTCTAAAGGCGGCGGCTGCGGTGACGGCGGGGAATATACATATATATATATATTTGTACGTTTAAATATAATAATATTATGTATAATATTTTCATCACACGGCTAGTGATTATACAAACTTAATATAATACTTCACCGCTACTACATGCCGTGTAAAACGAGTCCAAGAATAAACGCACCGTCCCCGCGGGCACATATTGTAGCCGTTACGCGTACCTCTCCTCCTCCTCTTCAATGTATATGTATATAAATATATATAGTGTACTCTATACATGTAATATAGTTTTGTACATATACAGTTATATACGGCCAAGACCCAACATGTTAATTAAGAAAATTAGTGTTCTTAGTTTCCCTGCCAGAACACAGGCTCCGTATAGCGTGCACTGTGCGATGAACAAGGAAAAAAGTATTATAAGATCCTCATATTATATATATATATATATATATATATATATATATATATAAATAATAACACTTTACACCTACTATATCGTGTACTATAATGAAATACTTTGAATTGAAAAATTATGAATTCTAATGCAACGGTTAGGTGCGATCATGAACCGAGCCGAATAATTGTTAAAGTTTAGTAAAAACCAATTTTGACCAAGATGCGATAGATTAATTAATAATAAGTCAGCAAGTGAAAAATATTGACTTTATGTTTTTGGAGCAGTGCTAGTTTTTTCAAACTAAGCCAAAAAGCAAACGAGCGACTTTTAAGATTTGATTTTCAAAGTAAAATTATTTTATTTTTTCCTTTGTCGTTTCTATAATATAAAATTACTTTGAAATGTGCTTGTATAAGGATGAAATTGAAATATTTTTGTAGTTATTGCTTCAACAAAAGGAACCGATCGAGCTATAATGGAAGCAAATCTTTGACGTACAAGATTGCGAATAAAAACCGTTTGATCAAAAACCTTATACGTGGAATTTTCTGTTTAAGAATTACAGACAAGTCAAGATTGTTGAACAAAAGTAGCACAACCTTATTGTACAAAAAAAGTCCACTTTTCATGGTAAAAATAAAATATGTTTTTATTACATTTTTTTTTTTTTTTGTTCATTTAATTATAATATTATGCTCCGGTTCATAAATATAATACACTTATGTTTTGATTTTAAGTAGAAACTGTACTTTGAAAACCACCGATGAGGCGCTAGTATTATTATTCGTATTATTCTTATTTAGTTAAAAACGACATTTTTTCTGTATAATTTGTGTAGCACACTATAAAAATCAGAGATTTAAAACGTTATCAAGCTAAAAAAATTTCCATCATTTGTTATACCACGAAGGTGCGTACAGCGAATGTTGATAAAATATTCTGATAGCTTAACTCAGATTGAACTTGTAACAAAAAAGGCCAATGAAAAATATATACATATATAAATAAAAAAAAAATTAATTAAGTCATTCTTCTAAGAACAATATTTTATATCATTCCAAATGTGATGTTTTTTTATTAATTTGTTTTTCCTAATCTACGATTTAAATCGGTTTTTCTAATCACAACATTACTTATTATTAAGCTTTTTAAACCAGGTTGTCGCGTTTAATGCTTTATCTCAATAATGACTTGAGGCTTCTTTGGGAATAATAGCTTTAGATTTTATACATTATAAATAAAATGTTTTACATAGGATATTTGATAAAAATTAACACTTTAATAAGAAACTAATATTGTTAGTCGACAATAATATAACCGATTTTGTAATTGCTTTTTTCAAACATTTCATTAACGTAGAGTACCTACAAGTTAATTTTGAGCATTTGTCGCATTGAACACAACTAAATGTAATAATGATATGTTGTGTTTATATATATATATATATATATATATATATATATATATATAGAGGTAGTTTAAAAATGTACCATTGTCTGTTAAGTAGGTTTTCGAGTGTGTGGATGTTATACGCCGAACAAAAGGCCCGTTCGTTTTACCATGGGGATTGTGTGTAAACAACAATCGTAGCTTTTGCTCCACTGGCGCTTTGTATTTTCTACAGACTTCTTGGGAAATTCGCAAACAATTGGATGAAGACACAGATGGTTCGCATTACTTAAAATATATTATTCCACTCTCGAGTACACGCTCTAATGAACTTTCACGCTACCGCCCATTTCAAAGGTTTCCGCCAGAGACTTAAAGGAGGCAGACATTGTGTAGGGATAACGACGACACAATTCTCTTAATAATTGTTTTCTCAAATATGTAATTCTACTACTAGCTGCGCCCCCCCCCTCCCCACCTTCTCTGTCTTTGGCTCTACTCGAGGGGCAATATAAAATACCTAATATAATTTAACAGAGGCTGAGCTAAAGCCTTACTGACCGTACAACGGTTTGCCGTTTAAGTTAAAAATTATTTTTCCGGTACTACTTATCACATTAGCACATACCTCTAAACTAAGTTAATCAAATATTCAACAAGGATTGTAATTTGTTTAATCTTGTTTTCATTAAAACTACTAAAGTAAAATATAAATCGTTATTCGTCCACAAGGTTATACCCGCTTTCAAATCCCTCACAGCTTGTTGTTCCTATCACAGTTGATGATGCACAATACACAATATTATCTAATATTATAAGGCTATAATCTCTTAAGTGGTATTAACGCAAATAGAACGACTCTCAGAAGAGACGTGACCTTTTTAAACGACCGAACCCATCACCAAAAGGTCTGGGATTCGAATAACCAACAATGGTAGAACGACGGCTGTACATACAT